TTTTGATATTGCAAATCTGGTTGACGGCGTCTGCAGGAAAGGCAAAATGTCAAAGACTAAAGCAAAATAATTAGAAAGTAAAAAAGAAAAAAAAAAAAAGAAAGAAAGAAAGAAAAAAGAAAAAGAAAAGAAAGAGTATTACCAAGGCGACCCAATTCATATACAGTAGAATCCGGTAATACCCCTTCATGTCACAAGATCCCCAGTTCCTTTTACCTACCACCTAGATGGAAAAAGGCAAATCATGAGCAATTAAATGAATGGCCCCAGATGCCGATACTTAGTTATCATCATGGGCTCCCCAATCATCCTGAGCTCCCCAATCATCGTCCTCACGCTGCCACAACAGGTGCCCGTCCATGTCATAATTTTCCACACTGTGCCCATGAGGTATAGGTGTATCGACGCCCTCAATAACCTTCAAAGACGGTAATTTTGCATCGTTTTGTTCCAACAACATTGCTATCTGGGCCTCTATATCTAGATCTAATGGCGTTTTATATTTGTGTGGGTATTTACCCGGCAAACCATAGCCGTAGATGCGCAGCGATTCCAGACGTGGGGGAAGGTTGTCAATGAGTGAGAAGGGTTCCTTCAGGCGACCGGAACCAAAGCCACGAGTGTAGCAGTAGAGAACATGAGTGCCGATACTAAGATGTTTGAGATTGGCAAAGCTCCTCAGCGCACACTCCGGAGCCACTGATTCTACACCAAGGACTTTTTCCTTTTGAGCCATCCGCTCCTGGAGCTCTTCGTCTACCTCATATGGGCCGCTCCAAGGCGGGCCAAAATCCTCATCGAACATTTCACGAAAAGTCACATGCGTCTGGATGTCAAGATCACGCTCTTCCAACATGTGCCGGTGGGTGAGTAACGACTCCAAGAGATCTATTGAACTGACCGGTGATAGATCTCCGCCCCGCTCCCAGCGTCCACCGACCGTAAATGCGAACTTCCTTAGCTGCTTGGCTGACTGTATAATGATATCCAATTCCTCGGGCGAATGCATAATACAGTGGTAGAGCATGATGTCCGTGTAGTTGGCAGAACGTGGTGGAGGCCACATTTCTACATTGCGTTCTGGCTGGATGGCTTCGAAATGAACGGATTTAATGGCGGAGAGTTCCCGGATGAGGTTAAGGCAGTCGTGAACCTCGAAATCCCAATAGAGTGTATCATCGTCCGCACCATTATCTATATCAGAGAGAAGTCTCACTGAGCGGAGATTTTGCAGACCAGCCACATCGCGCTTCTCAGCGATGGCTCGCCGGAGAAAGTTTTCAAATATATATGTCTTGGAGGGTCGTTGCAAACCTAAATGGGAAGAAGACTAGGGATTCCAACTGAGACGACAGGGAAAAAAGCATGACAGCTAGGGCCTGCGCCTGGAAATATAGGTACTTGTCAAATAGGCTGAAGAACTGTAAGCGCCTAGAAAGATCAACAGCCTATCGATGAGTAACTGGCGTACCTTCGGTACTTGGTAACATCCTGCAGAAGCATATTCATTACCTGTTCATGTTCTCCCTGTCCTTCGAACCCCGCGTTTTCTGACTGCGAGCTGGAGCCTCTGAAGATCTTCTGGTGGCAGCAAGACCTGTGCTGGTCGAATCTCATAAGGATCACCCCGATACGATAAGCACGGTGTACGATCAAGCTTCAGCTCCCGTAGTTGTCCCGCGAGGGACGGCTCTCTAAGAATGGAGAACAAAATCTGCAATCCCCTCTTTATCTCGGCTGGGGATCGAAGCCGCACTTTGTGGAAGTTGTCATTGTTTTGCAGTTGACAGATACCATGTCTAGCCTGAAGTTGGAATGAATTGGCGAGTCTCATGTAACCAGTGCCAGAGGTGGGGATAATATGTCGCCAGACGAGTCTTCTGCAGGCTAGCATGGCAAGGAAAAAAAAAAAAAAAAAAAACGGGTGCACAAGGGGAAATCGCGAGATACTATGTAGTAGATCTTTCCGACCCGCATCAAAACCAGGGTCATCCTAGTAGCCAAGCACGCCTAGATTCTATCGATGCTCTCCAACACTGGTAAACTATACACGCTTAGCTACCTAGTAACCAAGCTATTACACACTATTTTAGTGTTGCAGGGATCCGGAGCCAGACAAAGAGAGTTACGTGGATACCTATAAAACAGCTAAAACCTGTGATGCTACATTGCAGCTTGCAGCTAGTCCTATAAGGTTGTAACGGAGCCATTCTCAGGGCCAACCCTAATCCCATTTTAAACATGTCTGAGGCCATTCACAATGAAAATTATCCTAGAAAAAGTATCTAGTGTGCCCTAAAACGCTATACGCCGCGGATGTAACTAATGGCAATTCATGTCCTGCGCATAGTGTAATATCAACCCCTGCTCAGAGCTCCGCAGCAATACCGTTTTTATTACTACAAATGGAACCAAACCATTTGCGAAGATCATAATTTCTGCTCAACAGCTGAAATTGCGGTCCCACAAATTATATAGCTCACCCTACTATATGGAAAGCGCTGAAAACGGTCCATAAGTAGGATCCATAGGTGAGGAACGATTGCAGAATTCTTTGATTGGGCCTTGGTGTTAATGTCGAGGTTTCCACTTAGTGGTGGCAAGCAATCACTTGGCAATTGCTCACTGCATCTACTTAGTAGAATGTGTGATCGAGAGTTCGTCAATTATAATGGTCAGATTCTGTTATCATGGGATACAACGTTATATATAATTCCAAAGAAAGCAATACAACAATTTGAGTTAGCAAACGAACAGCAAAGTAGAGGCTTTCAGACTGTATGAAATGCTATTGCATATATAGTAATAGCCACTAACAAACTCTTAACTAGTCAGTAAAGTCTACATTTGGTCCCTTTGTTAATTTGCTGTAGTTGGTTCTATTTGTGCTATTTTTTCGAATAGTTGTTGGCGCACATGCTCAGCCCGCTGAATTAGGGTATTGTGATCTACTTGAGGCGATGTAGGAGAGGGTGGACTATAACAGAGAAACTATAGGCTCCTGGATGACTTGCATTAATCGATCGGCAGAACAGTGTCTCGCATTGCGATCAGGAAATCATTTCCGACCTCGATATAAAAGGTAAAGATTCCGGTTTTCCTAATAGTGTGAACTTAGGCTATAATCCAAGACAGTGAAACTATTAATTGCGAAAATTTGTGTTTACTTGCAATAAATGTGAGTAAATAAGAACACTTGTGCGGAAATATAGCGGAAAATCCCATTCAGTAATTTGGGGAAATCTGGGGCCGCCTTGGCAAAGCTTCGAAGCCGTAGTTTTGTAGCTTTCCCCGAGATCCCTATGAATCTTGTCACCCAATCTTCTTCATTTCATAAATGTTCATAGCTGTAGGGTTAAAATTGTACCAGTGCGATGAGCGGAAGGTGAAGCCGCGAGGTTCCGCGTCCGTGTTTAGCCGTCGGGAGCGGAATGGAATGCCGCAGTGCCCGATACGAAAGCCTGAGGTACATACAAGGTTGCTTCCTCGGTCACAGCCTTACAACCAATGAGGTGCGTCCGATTCGCGATGTTGCAGCGATGGCCGCCCCTCTTCTGCTGCATGGTTGGCGACAGTCTCATATCCTATCAAGAACGAGGCAGTTTGTCCACGTACCGTGACGTTGAACCACGGTCGGAAAGGTCCCGTGCAACAGACGTAATAACCCCTGCGGAGGCTTGATGTTTAAACGAGATGTTAGGTATAAAACCGCGTCGCATGCCACCTTAGCTGCTATGAGACTTTTCCTTCGGTAACGACTGTTTTGTCTCGTTTACTTTAGACATTTTCAGAGATGTCGTTACAAACGATCGCGATCGCCGCTATCGCGGTGGTGTACTTTATCATCCGCTACTTGAACCGCACCGATGTCCCAAAGATCAAAGGCATCCCAGAGATTCCTGGCGTTCCTCTCTTCGGAAATCTTTTACAGCTAGGCGACCAGCATGCGACGGTCGCGGGAAAATGGGCGAAGAAGTTCGGACCGGTTTTCCAGGTGCGCATGGGGAACAAGGTGAGCTTTGACATTCTTTTAGTGGCTGATGTGAGGGGGGCCGAAGCTAACTTGACCGCTGTTCAGCGTGTGGTGTTTGCCAACAGTTTCGACTCCGTGCGCCAGCTCTGGATCAAGGACCAATCCGCGCTCATTTCTCGCCCGACATTCCACACCTTCCATAGCGTCGTTTCCAGCTCGCAGGGATTTACTATTGGTACATCCCCCTGGGATGAATCCTGCAAGAGACGGCGCAAGGCGGCTGCAACGGCGCTGAATCGCCCCGCAGTGCAGTCGTATATGCCGATCATTGATTTGGAAGCCACCGCTAGTATTAAGGAACTGTTCAAGGATAGCCAGAATGGAACGGTGGATGTGAACCCTACTGCTTATTTCCAGCGGTTTGCGCTTAATACCAGTCTTACGCTGAACTACGGGTTCCGGATCGCGGGAAATGTTGATGATGAGCTGCTCAAGGAAATCGTCGATGTCGAACGTGGAGTGTCGAACTTCCGCAGTACGAGCAATAACTGGCAGGATTATATTCCCTTACTACGGATTTTGCCTAAAATGAACCGTGAGGCTGAGGAATTCCGTGTCCGTCGGGATAAGTACTTGACGTATTTGTTGGATATTCTCAAGGACAGAATTGCTAAGGGAACGGACACGCCGTGTATTACTGGAAATATCTTGAAGGACCCGGAAGCAAAGCTTAATGAAGGTAAGAGTGCCTTTAGTCTAATCATTAGAGTTCGCCACTGACGGAATGGCTTAACAGCGGAGGTGAAGTCTATTTGCTTGACGATGGTTTCGGCTGGTCTGGATACTGTTCCAGGTAATCTGATCATGGGCATTGCGTATCTGGCTTCTGAGGACGGTCAGCGTATTCAGCAGAAGGCCTATGACGAGATCATGAAAGTCTACCCGGATGGCGATGCATGGGAAAAGTGCTTGGTTGAGGAGAAGGTCCCATACGTGTCGGCCTTGGTTAAGGAAACTCTGCGATTCTGGACTGTCATCCCGATTTGCCTGCCACGGGTAAACATCAAGGAAATAGAGTTTAACGGGGCAAAGATTCCGGCTGGAACTACCTTCTTCATGGTAAGATACTACTTCCTTATCTCTGGCCTGTGCCCCAGGAACCATACTCATTGAGGTACAGAACGCCTGGGCTGCCGACTACGACGAGGACCATTTCAAGATGCCCGAAAAATTCATCCCTGAGCGATATCTCGAAGTCTCTGAAGGTTCTGGTACCCCACACTACGGATATGGGGCCGGCTCACGGATGTGTGCGGGATCGCACCTTGCTAATCGCGAGCTTTTCACGGCTTACGTCCGGCTGATCACTGCTTTCACAATGCATCCAGCGCAGAATCCGGCAGATCGCCCTATCCTGGATGCGATCGAGTGTAATGCGATTCCCACGGCCCTGACCACAGAGCCAAAACCATTCAAGGTCGGTTTCAAGCCGCGGGATGCTACCAAGCTTCAACAATGGATCGTGGAGAGCGATGAACGGACGAAGGATCTGTAGTCTTCTATTTTTCTATTTCTTCCAGTCTTGAATTAGCATTGCGTTGGCTATGATATTTGCATGCTTAGAATGAAAATGTACATAGTAGTATGAATGTGAAGGCCCCCTCAAATGGATCAAATGAATAACATCTCCAATAAAAGACCGAGAGAATACATGAACACAAACTAAGAATTTAGCGGGACCGCGAACCATTCAAGGAAGTGGATAACTGCCGAGTGGATCGTCGCGCCTAACCGCCTCGGGCAATAGTGCAACCTCGGCTGCCGAACCCCCGCATTAGCGACTTGACCCAACAACAAAAACATCCATCGGCTTTTTCCTTTTCTCACCGTTCGTACCGGGACTTGTGCAAAATGTCTGCCCCGGCGGATCATGACACAATCCACATCGTAGACAACGGGGATAACCGTACGATAGAGAACGAAGCGGAGTCAAACGACCCCCGTCCGCGGAAAAGACGGAAATACATCGCAAAGGCATGGTGGGTCACGTTAATCCATTCCGGTATTGTGAACAGCTCGAGGTCTTGCTGAAATCGGGAACAACAGTAACGAGTGCAAGCGTCGAAAAATCAAGTGTAATGGAGAGACACCATGCCAAAGATGTGGAAGGCAGCGGATTGGATGTGTGTACGCCGAAGCACAGCGACAAGAAATTAGCGGAAATGAGAAGTAAGAGCAGGTCTGTGGGGCGGAGAGAGTTACGCTGACGGAAAATAGCGGGTTCGATCAATTGTGCGAGCAGATGAAAGCCATGCAGGAACAGATTACGGCTTTGACGGCTGCCGTTCATACTCTGACTCAAGGTGCGGGTGTTCCGGCGTCATTATCGCGACCGGACCAGACCTGTTCATCTATTTCCTCGCAGAGACCGTTTCGGCGTGTTTCATCGGCGCGGGAGTTGACCTTTCAAGGTCCTACGACATCTGCGTTTAGTTTTGACCTTGCGAAATCGAGTCTTCAGCGGCGCGGGATCGTCGAGCGCAATGATGCTGGTGAGGATGGGGATCTGACCCAGGAACCGTCGCCTATGCCATCACCGCCCTCGCCGACTCAAGTGCCGCATACGCGACGGGGTGATCCGCTGTGGTCTATTGGAAAAGATGAAGCTCTTCGATTGTGTAGGGTATATGAGGAGGAGATGGGGATTATGTACCCTGTCTTGGACCTGCAGCAGCTCCTCAACCAGGTCGAGATCCTTTATGGTCAGGTGGGAACAGAAGCCTGGTCGGAAGCTTCTGTACAGCATCATGGTAACACGAAGCTGGATAATTACGACGTCCACATTCTCAGATTGGTTCTTGCGTGCGCAATAACGGCCGAGGCAAGCGGAAACAGCGATCTCGCAATGAGGTTGTTTGAGGATGTACAGGAGGTGGCAGACAATTGTGTATGGGGGCCACCGGACATTAGAGGTATCATGTTCCTGACGTTGGTGGTAAGTCCTGCTTTACTATTGTTCCTTGCATAACCTGACGTAGTCACTTAGTCGATTTTCTATTTTCAAATGGATGAGGAAGCGCTTGCCTGGAGGACAATCGGCATCGTGGAACGTATGTGTCTGGAGAAAGGTCTTCACCGACGGGAAACATTGCAACAACCGGCTATCCTAGCTGAAGGGAGGGAGCGTATTCTACGACTATTCTGGTCCATATATGTTCTGGATATGCGCTGGAGCTTCGGGACAGGCATGCCATTCGCCTTAGAGGACACAGATATTGACCCGTGGCTTCCGGAGCCCGAGGAAAAGACCCCCTACTTGCGGGTGATGATTCGGTATAGTCGCATTGCGGCGAAGGTCTGGAAGTTTATATCAGCTTTCAACAACACTAATGAGATCAAGAAGGACGAGATGAACTATCTAGACTGGCAGGTCCTGCGATGGGCTGCGGCAATACCTGAATCGTTGCGTCTTGACCAGCCATTCGATCAGGCGCAACAAGATCCTCGGAGTATCCGTCGGCTACGATCTTTACTTTACCTACGCGCCAATCAGCTGCGGATGCTGATCTATCGACCGGTACTACACTCCGCGGCTCATATAATGCGTTATCCCGCAGAATCGCAAATAGTCGTTGACCTTGCCAAAGACACTATCCAGTTCATCACGAAACTCAACGAAACGTCAGATATATACCGCCTCCAGCAGGTCACATTCAACTGGTTTCTCGTGTCAGCCCTTGCCGTTCTGTTCCTCGCCGTATCGCAGACACCCGCTCAATTCAGTGCTCACTCTAAAGTGGAGTTCTACATGGCCTTGGAGTTAGTCAAAGGCTTCTCGCCGCGATCATATGTGTCCCGGCGGTTGTGGAAGTCAATCAAGGGCCTTCGAAAACTGGGACCTCAACTTGGGCTGCAAACCCACCAACAGCCCGAAGAGACAGCTCGGTCCGCAATCGAGCCAGCCGCTGGTAGTGCAATGATAGACACAATGGAGCAGGTGCCGGCACCTAGTACGAATAGTCATACAACACCGGACGGAGCCCAGATGACACGGGAGCTGATGGAATGGTTCGAAGCAGTGGGCAACATTGAAGACCAGATCATGTCAGTGGGGACGGGTATGCAGACGTATGAGGAACCGTGGCAGTATGGGGCTCGCATGGGGAATGGCTACACATTTGACTTTGGAGGTGAGCTGTCGAGCTTGATGAAGGATTGCTTTTGATAGCACTATAGAAATATCAAGGGCTTTACCCCGTTTTAATACCTTCAATTCCTGTGATACCGGTAACAGTAAAAATAGACAACTAAAGTTATTTCCACATCATCAACTTACTAAGTCTATCCATAGTGCACTACAATCCCCCAACCCCAGCTCTGCCAAAAGGAAATCGACAAAAACACATCACACTACTACTACTTCACAGATAGGATACCCAAATCAAGGAACTAACGACGGTCACTCCCTTATGGCCAGCGATAAGGGTCACCAACGACAGGCGAGCGAGGTGTGACGACAGCTAGTTTAGGCTCAGGAGGTTCATATCCCATCTCAGCTTATGTTTCTATGAATACAATTAGCACAATTCGCGATAGCCAACGATGAAATATCGATATTCTTACTTTTCATGGAGACTATCTCAAAGACAATTTTCTTCCCACGTTTCTTCCCACATGATAGAGCAGACCTCCATTGGATATTGTTGAAAATGTAAATTGTTGGCTCCCCTTCGATGGTACATTTTAGGAGATGCTCCGTGGTGGAAAACCTGCATTGCTCGGACAGAAATGTAGTCCATGTTTCCCAGGACAGCCATTGGAAGGGAATACTACGCTCCTTTGCTTGATAACTAACAAAGAAATGGCCAGCCTCGACACAACCATTTCGGATTGGATCTATAGTATTATCGACGATAATAAATCGTCCCATGTAATTTGTGGTACCTCGGGAGAAGGTGTGGACATGATGTACAGCAAATGGGGAAGTGGAAAGGCCACTGTAACTCGTCCCAGAATGGCTGGTGGCTAGGGATTGGCTAGGGATGACCGGATATTATAGGGTGAGGAAGACGAGGTCAAATATTCGAAGGATCGAGATGGAGGGATTGAAATCCAGTATGTTTTAGCTAGACCTGATCTCTGGATAAGAAGAGAAGGATCTCCCATGGTTGAGACGAAAGGTGTTTATATACGTCTCCAGCCGGCCTTTGTACTGGATATACCCCAAGATCAACTGGAGTACTCCATCACTGCTTCGGAGAAACATCAGGATTATAGCGCATTGTGTCTGAAGGTACCTTTATTATTCAGTATTTCATCTATTCTTTACCTAAAAAAAAAAAAAAAAATTGATATCGGTATCTGCCCACGCTTTCCAGCTTTATTCCAATATACCCAGGAGCATACATTGGCTTTAACAATAGCGAAGGTCCGTTACACAGGGAGACGAAGAGACAAGAGAATGAAACGTCTATCGGATCAGTTATAAAGGGGCTTTCCCAATGTTTCCAAGTCTTTGACAGTAAAATCCGTAACCAACATATGAGCTGGCTCATGCGCGAACACAAGTCCTTCGATTCGGTCTCCTGCCGACTCCACTGCCATCTGTGGTGTGACACCACATGCCTTATGAACAATCAACAAAGTGAATTTCTTTTTTATAGAATAATAGATTAAAAATAGGAAAGGAGAAACCCACCCAGAAAACTGGAACCTCACCGTCTTCAAAAACCTGTCTCTCTCCGTAATCCGGTTTCTCAATATCGCTAATACCCAACCGCTCGAGGGCATCCCATCCCCAGTCAACCGGCTCCCCATGCGTGGCTAGGAATGGTCTTGTGATCTCCCTAACCCTCTCTACATCTTCCACGCGATAGGGTCTCATAGAAACAATACAAGTTCCGTTCTTGAAGATCCCGGATGCTAACAATGGAATCCGTGTTTTGTACATGGGAACAATGGTCCCCGTGGCTTGGTGTCTTGGTCTGAGCCCCGCGTCAGACAGGGCATCTTCAAAGGAAAAAGAGCATCCGATTAAAAAGCCGACATAGTCGTCTGTCCAAAGATTCATGAGATCGGTACGGCTTTCAATATACTTGCCATCTTTGTAAACGCGGTATTTGGGACAGTCTGTGCGAAGGTCGAAGTCCTTCTCCTTGATGCAGGACGACGGGTAAATGATGTGGGGGTTGCCCTTCTGGGTGAGTCCAAGTAAGGGACAGGAGACTGGATTGCGGAGACACAGGTTGTGGAAATCGTCGGCGTGTTGCGATGGAAGGATGAGCAGGTTGGCTTGTAGGTATCCTGGGGCTAGGCCGGAGGTGTTGGTTATGTGGTTTTGGCGGCCGAGGAGGCGGACTTGGTGGGCAGTTTGACATAGCGTGGGGTCCATCTCTACAATAGTATTATGGCTGTTCTTTGGTTTGAGTACTTGTGTTCTACATTTGAATTATATGACTTTCCCCGCGGAATGAGAATAGCTTATTTTCCGCCTTGACACGGAGTGGTTAACGACCATCAAGCAAGGAGCCAAGCCCTAGGTCCCCGTAGTATTTCCTACTCTGTATACACCGAGTCAACCCACTCGTTTTCCCCATATCCACCCTCGGGGCCCACTCACCGATATCTGGGGTTTTATCAGTCGGACCACCCAATGAGCTAATGGGATTTAGTAGGGGTAACCAACTGATAAACCCCTGTCCACCACTTATCTTGACCCTTCGGCCCGAACGGGCTGTTTCTACGAGCGGAGACGCGGACTTGGGCCGAATTTCTGTTACTCAAGTGATACCTTATTCAGATAACGGGACTGCCATCCAGCCAAACACTATGCATCTTCAGGGAAAAGATATGCATCCGCTATCTTGATAGGTAATCGTGACGGAGGGATCAGCGAGATCCACGGGGTTTCTTTTTAACCCCAGATTTTCCCCTTCCCTGTCGACTCGGTTTTGGAGGTTTTGGGGTGGAAGTGCAGTTAACATCCATTTCCCGCACGAACTCAAGAACGCAACAGTGCTTGGTATTTATTCGACCAGCTTATTTGGACGCCTTCCATGTCGACAAACCAAAAGGATATTCCGGTTGAGAGCAAAAATGATCGCAAGACCTCCGTAGAGGAGCCGGGTCTCGGCGATATGGACGACGTCGTGCTCGATCCGAAGAAGGAGAAGAAACTTCTCATGAAGCTGGATATTGCTTTCGTTCCAATTATCATGGTGACATATTTGTCATGCTTCTTAGATCGCACAAATATCGGTATGTCGTATACCCTATTGAGGATTTGGCATGGGAGCTGACCTTCGTCACAGGCAATGTCAAGGTCGCCGGAATGCCTGAGGATATCGGGGCCTCCGAGACTCAGTTTTCGACCGCCGTGTCCATTTTCTACGTGACATATGTGCTGCTAGAATCACCATGGGCGGTGTTGATGAAGAAACTTACGCCTCGCAATATCCTAACCGGACTATGCATCGTCTGGTCTTTGGCGACAATTTTTACGGGGTTCGTACAGAACGTTGCTGCGCTGTACGCGACACGGTTGATTTTGGGTGCTTGCGAGGCGGGTCTTTTCCCGTGTCTGAATCTGTACCTGACAATGGTCTACCGACGGGAAGAGCAGGCGAAGCGCGTCTCCTACCTTTTCAGCTGTGCAGCCATTTCTGGTGCCGTGGGAGGTTTACTGGCATACGCACTGCTGCATATGGATGGGCTGGGAGGAAAGGCTGGATGGAGGTACTTGTTCGCCCCCTTTCTTTTACATCGGATAATTAACTAAGAAATGAACTAGATGGGTCTACATCATCGAAGGCCTCTTCAGCATGGTCTGCGCCGTCCTCATCTGGTTCGGCCTCCCCAATGACCCAGCAGAGTCGTACTTCCTGACCGCGGAAGAGAAATGGATGATGCGCGTGCGTAACGAACAACGCCGCAAATACATGGGCAGCGACAAGTTCAGCTGGGAGGAGATGTGGACTGCACTGCGCGATCCCAAACTGGCGTTCAGCGCAGTCACGCAGTTCTGTCAGGATATCCTGCTCTACGGATTCAGCACCTTCCTGCCAACAATTCTGCAGGGTATCGGGTATAACTCGTTGATGAGCAATGTGTTGACCGTGCCGGTGTATATTTGGGCCGCAATTGTATTTATTGCGGTTGCATATTGTGCAGATCGGTTTTCGCGCTTTGCCTCTGTAAGTCTTGTCCTTTTTCTTCCCTCTCCAAATCAACAATCTGGTGGCGAACATGGTGAAGAACATGCTAACGTGCGAAAACAGTATATCCTAGTGGCCAACATCTTCGGAATAATAGGCTACATCCTCCTCCTAGCCGTATCCAACGACCCCGTCAAATATTTCGCCACCTACCTCTGCGCAATCGCCTGCTACACCGGCGTCGGACTAAACGTGGCCTGGCTGAACGTCAACTTTGCCCCCCAATACCGTCGAGCCCTGGCAGTCGGCGTCCAACAAACCATCGGAAACTGTGCGGGAATCGTCGCCGGACAAATCTACCGCAAATCACCTTATGTACTCGGTAACTCATTCTCCTTGGGGTCTCTATGCGTAGCTCAGATCGTGGTCTTCGTGCATGCAATGTATCTGAAGAGAGAGAACGCAGAGAAGGAGAGGATCATCGACGGGAAAGAGGATACGCGGAGAGTCAGGACAGGTGACGCGGAAGTGGAGTTCAAGTATCATTACTAGTAGTAATTCCTGTTCCAGTGGTCCAGGGGAAATTTTATAACTGGTTATGTCATTCATAAGATTCTTTTTTTTTAATTTTTTCTAGATTTTTTCCTTGGATAATTTCTTGGGAGTGAGGGTTGTACGTATTCTTCTGGTGGATGCGTGCATGACGTCATGACGTACGTATACATGAGATTAATTCTTTTTTTTTTTAGAAGGAAAGGTGGAAAAGGTACCGCAGGATATATTAATATGGATCTCCACTAATTTCAGCCTTACATTTATAAATCGATAGATTGATATACTTTCTTTCACCTACAATTGACGTTGATTGAAACACTTTTGTGAACCACTGCCCGACATTAGCACCTCCTACCAAACAAACCAAAGAAAGCATAACCATAAGAACACCATGGGCTCTTGTTTCTCCTCTCACGGCGGCAGTAATCGCCGTCATCATATGAGCCCCGGCATGGGAATGGGCGCAGGCGGATATCCACCCCCGCGAAAACACGAGTTCGGTCCTGGCGCTGGACTGGGAGGAGGCTTTGGCACGGGGCCTGGAGGATTTGGTGGCGGTGGACACCATCATCATCATCATCATCATAATCATCATCATGGTGGTGGTGGTGGACTTGGTATGGGAATGGGTGGTCATGGGCATCATGGTCATCATGGGGGCATGGGACCTGGGTTTGGAGGCGGGCATCATGGAGGTGGGTTTGGTGGATTGGGTGGAGGACACCATGGCGGACATCATGGAGGACATCATCATGGTGGAGGACATCATGGAGGGGGCTGGTAATTTCTTACTGCATGGGCTAACGGTATGTGTCTATATGGTTACGATTGTTTGCGACTGTGCTGACGAGGTCAGATTAGATGTTTATGTGCTTGTACGGCTTGTACGATATGTATTAATGATTCTTTATTTCTTCTCAAATTTCACTATGGTTTCTCCACAATATACTGTGAATCCTGGGACGGAAGTACAGCATGGTATTTTCACAGGCGTGGACACCAATCAATTCGATCCTCTAGGATACTCACTTGATCTTTGTAATCGGCTCCATCCTGGTTGAACAGTTCCCAAGCTTGTTCAGCAATTGTGGTAGGATTTAAGAAACTCGAGGCGGGTGATACAATCCCTCCCACAATAACCATTCCTACACGAGTTCCTCCCCTCGCAAGAGACTTCTGCAACGACTTGACCAAGTTTGCCTGTGCAGCCTTTGCCACCGACAAAGAAAATAATTCAGGGATTGGATCAACCGGTAAGAGACTGTTTGTCACTAGAATCGTCGGCTTGATACCGATTCCCGGGTTCGTTTGCATTGTATTAGCCAGGATGGGCATTGCCCATTGAACAGCAACATAGAGGGCAGTCACCGAGACCTAGAGAGTAGAACAAATCAATTATTGGAGAATACCCCTACAATGACAATAGATCCAAACTTACCTTCAGATCCAGCTCAATCTCTTCAACAGGGAAATCAAAAAAGTTGCTTCCACTAACGCGAGCCGCGTTGAAATAGACACATTCCAGGGTCCCAAAGGACTGAACTTCTGTTAAAGCCGCCTTGAATTGTTCCAGATCGCTGATGTCCACTTTCCATGTCCGAACATGGACTTGACGACCAATCTCTGCAGCAGAAGAGAGAATCGTCTCTTTATCTGCTTGCAACTGAGATGGGTTCCGGGCAAAGAGGGCTATATGCTCAAAGTGCTTTTGGGCAAACAAGGATGCCACAGCCACACCTATTCCAGGACCAGAGCCTATCAACAGGAGTGTTCTTGCAGAGACTGGATCCATGGTGAATATAAGGGATAGATAGCTTAAGACGAAGAAGAAGAAGTAAAAGCAACAATGAGAGGTATACGTTCTTACTAGACAGGAGGAGGTTAGTATTGTGAAATGAAAACTGATTCTTTGGTCCTCCCTTTATACTTCTTTGGAGGTAAAAAGCTATATTCTCATCAATTCAATTCTTAGTTATTAGAATAGTAGAATAAGACGCTAGCGGCCGATGGCCCCACGGATGCGAAAAAAGTATGGGATCTGTCAACCTGGAATTGCACCTATAAACTACCGTATAGATACGCCTATGGCGTTCGGACACTTTTAGGTGGTCGAATGGGAATGATCTTTCGTGTGTCAGAATCCTTGGAGACTTCGCCCTAGCAGCCGATCCTTGACTGAGGCTTGACCTTATGAAACGTTGGTACTCGGTAGACGGTAATTTTGGTTATATCCGGTCACACACTAGCGGCCGCAAGTTCTAACGTGAGATTTGATTGGCAGACATCAACAAATCATTTCCAGCCAAAACAAGAGCATCTGTAAGCGCCATACATAGATAGTAAGTAGTATTAAACCCGGCCACACCTGCTCTGCTGCCCCTCTTCTTACTTCCCTATCTTCACACACAAACATAAATCAATCGAGAAAAGAGACGAAAAGCATGCATCAAATCTTCCCAAACACTAAATCCCCATTCATCGCCAACGGGCCCATGCATGGCTATGCATATAGCCGTCTAGCAAGCGCCGTTTCATCTGCCGGGGGCTACGGTACATATAACCCTATATAACCCTTTCTTCCCTTCTAGTTGAGCAAGACTAAGACTCAGAAACTCGAGTATAGGCTTCATAGCCGGCGGCACCGATTTTAGAACGGGGTCTCCACAGCTCGAACAACTGCAAGCGGAACTCAACACAGCTCGATCACTTCTTGGGATCGCAAGCCCCGATGAAAAGCTCCCCATAGGTGTAGGCTGTCTCCTGCTCCAGCCAGAAGGCCTAATTGACAATGTACTTCCGATTCTATGCGCCGCTCGGGTAACTGGGATCTGGCTTTCGTTTCCGAAGAATGGAGCCGATCATGCGCCGATCATCACGGCTGTTCATCAGCTCCGAGAGAAGGAGAACTGGGATGTGAAAGTGTTCGTGCAGGTTGGGACGGTACAGGCTGCGAGGGAGGCGATCGACTATGGGGCGGATGTACTGGTTGTTCAGGGGTCGGATGCGGGTGGGCACCAGTGGGCGCAGGGGGCGAGTCTGATTGCGCTCATTCCGGAGGTGAAGGGGCTACTTCGCGAGTTGGGTAAGACGGGGGAAGTCCGGTTGTTGGCTGCGGGGGGTATTGTTGATGCGAGGGGGATGGTTGCGGCTATGGCGTTAGGTGAGCTTCTTTGTCTTCCGATGAGGTTATGATATATATAGCAAGCATATGGGACGTGCTAATGTTATTCGTTACGCAAGGTGCGGATGGAATCGTTATGGGAACAAGAGCAAGTCGTGGCCTTCACTTCTAAAGCATGTCTGGATACTAACACATTTGCACTCTCAGTTTATTGCTACCGTTGAATGCGCAGGTCCGGATGTCGCAAAAGAAAAGATCGTTTCCACGACTGATGGGATCTCAACGACAATTAAATCACGCAAGCACGATGTGTTCAATTCGACCGACTTTTGGCCTAGGCAATATGATGGCAGAGCCATCATCGGTCCCAGCTACGAGGACTTTCAGAGCGGTGTTACAGATGAAGAAATCCTCAAACGACACAGCGACGCCAGAGAAAAGGGAGAAGATGATAGAACCATTATATGGGCGTGAGTGTCTTTATCCGTAATATTTGGAGCTCTACTCATAAGACAAATAGAGGTACTGGGATTGGGTCCATCAAGGAGGTGGTGACGGTTAAGCAGCTTCTGGACGATGCTCGATCGGAAGTCCGATCAATCGTGGCGCAGGTGAACAATGCTTTTAGTGAGACAAATTAAGGAAGATTGCGGACAGGTACTATTATTGATAATGTTAATCAAGTTTAACGTTCCAGACAGAGCCATTGGCTATGACAGATACGAGAGGGCAGGTATTTGAGCCGCCAACCAAATTTAACGGTTATCCCACTCGCTGCAAATATTGATCTGAGGGAGTTCAGCATCTAGAATGCATGGTACACAAGGTGCTACACATACCGGCCAATTTCCACGATTCCCTCGCGTAAAGTAGTGTCAGTCGGAATGGCTCATAGTCTAGCTGAAACTGCTCCCCGAGTAGCTCGTTCATTCTAATCCCAGCAAGGACAGCTTCCCCCGTGCACATGACAGCAGGGAGTGGTGCAGACGGAATTTTCTCCGGTGTACTGAGCATATTAAACTTATTGCATATATCGCGGACCATGTTGATAAACGAAGTCAAGGCTAGGAGCGACGCTTTAGCATCATTGGATGTCCCAAAGGTTTGGCACTTCACCGCACAATCGATTCGAACTCGATGAAGGATCAACGCAGCCCTATCGTCCATTATTATTGACCCTGGATTGGTACGGGTAGGCATCTCACGTTAAGGTGATCGCATTAGCGCCGCATAAGGTTGCCCACCCCTGAGGCGTCTGCTCAAACAACCTTTCCGCGAACTGCATTAGTCGGTGATCCAACGATTGGCATTTTTCTGGCAGCGAATTGACGTCGACGTGTCTTTGTAGCAGTTGCACTTCACCGAGAAGACGGACGGCCTGAATCTCCCGGGCATAATAGCAAAGGGGAACATCGACTGGCACGGACATCGGCTGGTGGGATGGGGCCTGGGTTGCTTCACTTTTGTCTGTTCTCAAACATGCATCATCTACAGGCAGTCGGAAGTGATCCGCCAAGTCTTCTGATACATGAGGCGCTTTGAATTCGGTTACTACCTGGTATATGACGCTGTATCAAAAAGAAGGTCAGCAGCCCCTTCCAAAATTGCAGTTACTCGTGAGACGCCGATACCGGTCCAGCAAATATATCCCAGCCCACACCCGTCTTCGTTCCTCAGCAGCCTCCCAGGACAGGTAATCTTCGTAGTCATTCCCATCATCTATATTGAGTTTCATTAAGTAGCCTAACCTCGCACAGCTTGCTATGCTCAATGAGGCCGCTCCAGGGGATGCTTGCCCAGTCTCATATAAGGCTATCAGAAGACCACTCTGGACTAGTTGTAATGAAGGCGCGCGTCTTAGCTGAAGAACGGCGTTAAGTTCCTTGCACAGAGTGTAATTTCGATATGATGGATTTGTAGCTCTATCTGGTAAGCCTCCCTGCACGACAAGAAGTATGGCGAGAGCAAGCAGGGCAGTCTCTGCACGAGGTTGATGACCTAGCTTCTCAAGACTTTCCATAAACGGCCTCTCCATGACAACCGGTAACCATGGCTGGATGTGGGAAAAGTAATCGTTCAGGATACGAGTAAATGTCGAACTGTGTTCTTCCTGGGCTTGCTGCAACATATTAACGTACAATAGATCGATATTAAGACTAGGCGCTTGGGGGTTGTCCAACTCCAACCGCAACAAAAAGGTCAGCCCTTCGGACGGAGATACGTCAGAGGCGGTATGCCAGAGATAATTGCATGAGCGATTCTGTCTTTGTTCCATTCTCAGTGGCGTTGCAAGACAAAAAGATCCGTAGTCAAAGATGCATTGCAGTACCTGGTGCACCGGCCGCATGATGGCAACATCTTGTCACATCCCCTCTTCTGCTCTCTGCAAGCAGCACAGGCATTCTCCGCAACCGAAGCCGATGTCGACTTTGTGGTAACTGTCATTGAACGAGAATTCATTACAATAGTAGCTTTATTTATTTTGAACTAGGTCGATATGACGAACGGCCCTGAACTTGCCAAAGTTCGTTGAAGTTATCGAGTCAGCAGCCCCACATGAGACCCTTTGATTAAAATCTTGGGGCTGACTCGCTCGGTTCGTGACCCGCTCGTTTCCGAATAACTCACTTCGTTGTGACATGCGTACGTAATCCAGATGGCCGCAATTGCAGTCCCCATGCCATGTCAAGGTGCTCAATATCAAGTGGATCATTAGAGGCAAATTCCGGTCCACCGTCCTCTTTTTGAATCATCAGTCCTTCACCAACCTGCCTTATAGTCAATCTAGCTTGGTGAGTAGCGCAGCGAACGCGTGTACATTTAGGTATCGTTGGAATTCTGCATCACCACTCGAGAGCTCTGGTGAGATTAGAACTGCTATATTCATGGCAGATCGTTCATTCGCAAAAACGGATAGGTGAATGATAAACTAACCTTCGAATTTCGGTGGGATGTATGGCGCAACCCGTGTGAAAACGTTCTGAAAATCCGTCAAGTCCATGATCACAGCCAGATTCACTCTCGCCATCTGAACCATAGTTGCTTCGGATTGGCCTGTGAGGGAGCTTTTCTAGCGACCGGATTACTTTAGCTAGCCTTGGTGTCCGTCTCCATCATGATCTAACTGGCTTGCAAGACGCATGAATGCATCTCGGACGTGCTGAATAAATTCGCGAGGGGTCACAGGTCGGGGTCTGGTCACGTAGTCCGTATAGACTGAGTTCAAGTCTATCGCAGCCACGCCGGGGGGGGGGGGGGGAACTAGTGTTGCTGGTGCCGATGGATTTCCGTAAAATGCCATATACGAGCGGTCAGGGCCTGATTGGTCTGGGGATCCATGTTTGGAGACAAGGGATCTTTGAGACCTCGAGACACGGATGCTCTTCAACAATGAAAGATATGTTATGATGGATAGACGAGCGTGGATAGAGGAAGATGGATGTAGGCAGAAACGCTTTGTTGGATAAAATGTGCGTTGATCGTTGCCTAACTAACAAAGGGGGTCACACCAGTGAACATTATCATCCTTCCATATGGTTCCATTGCAAAACCGTGGATATAACATTGCAAAGTTGGTAAAATGAGCATAGTATCGTTAATTAGGCATGTTATGATCTTAAAGATGATTTATAGATACGGCGGTAGGGTTACAGGAGAGCACGTGAGGGAACACCATATACTTCATTATGTGATTCCTAGTATTATTTCCATAAGACATCTCAAATCATTCCAAACCTTGCGATCCGCGTCCTTCTATCAGAATTCCCCACTTCCAGGCCATCCAATCTAATGGATGGTTTCCCAAAATATTCAAAAATTGACTAGAGTTCCACAGTTAGGTCGGGTTTCGCTCCGTAGTCTTCAGTAGAAATTAAGTCAACCATCTTGTAATCAAGTAATTTCATGGCCATGTACAGAATAGGCTACCTTTTTTGGCAACAATATCAAACCTAACTCTCTCACCAGATTCCAGCATCGCCTGGATGGCACAGAGCCACTACGTGCGACAGAACACATATCTATTGAGAATGCATCCATCCCGTTCAAAGGAGAATTCTATCAGCTGCTTGTCCGGGTGAAAATCGCACTGTTTTCGACCAGTACTTCCACCCAGAAGCCATAGTCGAGATTCCGAATGGAGAGAGTGTCTTTAGTATCTCCATGTTGCCAAACGCACCAAGCGCCGAGAAAGGCGGAACGCCTGAGATCCACGTGGTTGATGATTTCGATGGAAGTATCCTCATGTATTTTCATTTTGCAAATGTCTCAAGGGGTATGGGCGTGTTAGATTACGTTTAAGAAGCAAGAGATCGTAAAGAGTAGAAAAGCCCTTCGATGCTCAGTAGATTAGAGGAGAAAGGTATGCAGGCAATCGATAGGTTGTAGTGTATAAACGTGTAACAGAAAAGCTACGAGGCGTTGACGTGCTTGGAAATCTGATTGGTTTGGCCGATTGGGTAACTTTGCTAGAAGTTGATGGAGCCTGACTGAGTGAATCTAATGAAACTAGTCCCTGACTACGCGTTTCTGTCATTTATCTCCAGCCCCTTGTCTTCCTACTTCTGTCTAATTGTTTCAACCACCGTCTCTCGATTACACCCAATACCCTTGAAATCTATTGTCATCTAACTCTCACTTTGACGTTCAAAGGTGAGGCTTCCTCTTTCCCCTTGATAATTGAATCGGACGTGCAAAGTTCAAACCACCTTAAGGCAGTAAACAGACTAAGACGTATTTCTAGCTCACAAGCACGATGCCCCGTGAAATTGCCTGGGACGCGGCCTTCAAGGTCCACAACCGCTTGGACCCAACCAAAAGCGGCATGTTCATGGCATGGGACTTCGCTCGTGTCTGGGATGGTCAAACCTTGTATATCAGAGACCTGGACTATGGCAAGTGGATCACCGGCTTGGTTGAAAAGTGTGGTTTCGAACCAGATACCCATTTCGCCAGATATACCGTTTACTATGATGGTCACGACGTCACTGGAAATATCCTCTGCGAAGCTCACTGGCACTATGCCATCAGAATGAACCTGGAACGTGGTCTGGACTTTGAAATTGTTCCCCAGGATGGTATGTACCCGGATCTAGCATGGATAATATCAAATGGAATGGTCTGCTAATGTTCCTAGGATACCTTGAGACTAACCATGACGGAACTCTCAATGAAACGATCAGCCGTGAGGACTTCTTGGCTTGGGTTGATAATCAGTACATGTACCTTTCCGATTGAAGATTACCAAACGCTTATCCTGATTTCTGTGGGTGGGGCCTGTTCCGGGGTCGATGTGAATGTACATTTGGAATCAATCGTCTTGATTTGGCTGGGTTTGTTGCGTTCGATGTGTTGACTCTGTCTGCCTACCTTTGTGAGATGGCAATGTTCGTAGTCTCCTGATGGACTACTGTTTCTGCATTGGGACAATGTCGTGTGGTTCGTTACGTCCATAGTATGAGATAAATTTTGTGACTTGCGTTTCCTGTTGTGCCTTGGGCTTGTTCCAACTAATGATAAACTTGAAGATTGATTATGGATGGGAAGGCTTTCTAGCCATTGGAATATCTCATCGGCTGGACAACGTATCGAACATGCGATCTAAACAATTTATTCTGCCGCATTTCCGCATAGAAGCAGTTCCACACAGTATGAGATAAGCTTTGACACCGCCGGAACATCCGATTAAACATCATTCCCCACCGTATTCCATCCCTTTTATGAAAATAGAAGCTTCACAGAGCACGCCGAGATACCACAAAAACATAGAAGCCACAAAGCAAATCCCAACACTGTCTGTTTGAATAGAAAGAGGTCGGACCAATGCCCAATAATCAATCTAAATCGCATTTCTCCATGTCTGCCGGTTTCTCAACAGCATCATAGAAATCAGACTCATGCTTATGACTAGCACCATTCCTTCCATCTTTCTCCACACGAAGCCATTCTAGTGAAGATAAGCGCACAATTCCCATCAGATTCATATAGTAACAGGGTATTCTCACTGTATTTGTGAACAATCTCGAATTCAAGATCAGCTTCGTTTTTCGACATGAGATCAATAGCAGCGGCAAACTGCTTCTCAGAGCAAATATAGACAAACTCCTGTGTGCCTTTACCAAGCGAGAGTCTACATCTGATACGGTGGCGCCAGGACGAGAAGCCGCACTGGCTCCTGAGGGCTCGCTTCCAGCTGGAGTAGTTGATCGATCCATACATCGTGTTGGTTCCCCAAGTTGTAATGAACGAGTAGAGCTTGAATATGGCACTTCGTTCGGGATTGACACGGTTGCGAACGATTATCCGAGTGGCATCTGACTTGATCCCTGGTCTGAGATACGCCATGGTTATGATTTGCAGGTAATGTCTCCACAGTAGTTTTATTATTCTTAATGTGAGCTGTGCGAGCACAGGACTTGTCTGATTCTTGTGTCTGTGTGTCTGTGTGTCTCTTTTGGAGGAAAGGTGTGTTTATGTTCGGGGTAGAGGGTAAGAAGCTGTCATTATGATAGCAGAAAACTCCTAATGAGGTACATATGATGGTCTCACTATATCATCTATGCATCACCAATACGTGCCTCGGGACACTTCTTTACCTCTGCTAGAATTGGCTTGTTCATTAGTTGGCCGTCGATTTTCTGTGGCTGACTTAGACGGTCCCTAAAATAACAAGAAGTACGTGTTTCCCTCCATCTTCGCTTTGAATGCCGTATAGGTTTGATTTCTGATAGGGAGGGGGCTTGTTTTGGCCTTTTCACTGTCAGGCGGTATGTACACCTTGATAAATGTCTGGGATATCGGGGAGTGCAATAGGTACTGTATTGCATACAAGTACTAACACTTAAGCAACGGACTGGCCACCATCATAATAGTACACAATTCAACCTCCAAGATTACATTACTCATCATCCACCAATCCAACCATCTCCAACGAATCCTTCCAGAGCCGAGTCTCGTCCTCCGGCTTGTACGTGTGATTGACAAATGTCCCAACATAATCCTCAGTACCTTCCGGGCCCTGTACAGCCTCAGCGCACCCAGCAAGGAATTTTCCGCCTGTACCTTCCAACTCCCTTCCAACCGCAGCCCAGACCGTTGTCGCAGCACCTTGCTCTAAGCTCTTCCATAGAGAATTCCATTTCGTATTCTGGAGCAACTGGTCAATCTGCTCCGTACTAAGGTAGTGCCCCAGATTAGTGGCGATCATCCCGGGGTGAACGCTGTACGCGTGCAGACCACGAGAGCCATAGCGACGGTCGAGCTCATTGGCCATGTAAATACCCGCGGTCTTTGACTGGGAGTATGCTTTCCATGGATCGTATCCACCTTTCTGGAAGCTATAGTTATCCGACGCGTTGATCCCGCCGTGTCTGTGTGAATCGGAAGATACGTTCACGACGCGAGACTGGAATTCAGCTGTGGTGGCGGCAAGCATGGCAGGTTTGAGTAGATTGAAGAGCAAGAAATGGGAAAGGTGGTTTGTTGCGAACTGCAGCTCGTAGCCATCTTTCGATAGGCGGAGCTCCGGGACGGACATGATCCCGGCGTTGTTGATTAGGAGGATGACTTTGTCGGCCTTGGAGAGGATGGTCTTCGCAGCGTTGCGCACACTCTCCAGGGAGGACTGGTCCATGTGGACAAGTTCCATCTGCTCTGGCTTGAAGATGTCGCCCAGAGCCGCTTTCGCTTTGGTTAAATCCCGGGCTGTGAGATAGAGGGTTGCGCCGGTTACAGCGATGGCTCGGACCGTTTCAAGGCCGATGCCGGATGAAACACCGGTGATTACGGCTGACTTTCCGACGAGCTTGCCTTCCATCTCAGCATCTTTGACAATTTGCAGTGCTGTTGGGCGGGCATCGCCGGGACCCTGGGGGTTTGCGTGAGCTTCGGCGTAGCGAGACATGGTGTTTTATATCAAGATTTGTTGATTGGTGCGGTGAGTTATGATGAGTAGAAGATGATATTCTTAAGATGCTGCTGATGAAGGGTATGCTCAGTAGGAAATCACCAGGCTTTTATGTTCATTCTGGCGGTACTCAATGAGTTTTGATTTCTAAGAAGATATAGATGTGGCCTGGAACTGGCTGACCATTTTTTTTTCCAGATTGGGAATAGCGGGTGATGTGGAACAAAAGACGGTGGCTGACAGTTTTTACCGAGTTGGGATAGTAGCATGTTTGGCCCCCAACGGAGTTAAGCTGATAGTGAAGTCTAGTTCATCCTCCTTTACTCCGTACCTTCCATTGAATACCGTTGAATATGGCGAATGATTCACAGTTCCCGATGTCCGAGCGTGGTGCAGTGGAGCCGGTGGATCACAGCGCTATGGCCGCAGATGAGAAGCGACAACGAAAGAAGATACAGAACCGGTTGAACCAAAGAGCGCGCAGTGAGTATTGGCGCCTACATCGAGCCCTGGGAGGCTTGGTCAGTCCAGTCAACTCATGTAGACCCAGGGCTTCGTCTTCGAGAAAAGGATCAGGCCGATGTAACCAATAACCTACGTCCATTCCGAGTCCATCGTTGGCGACTTGAGGATGAAAGTCACACCACGTCAGACAAGGATCGGAACCGTGGTCCCATCCAGAACCCTCATCTTGCTGCTGAACCAGTCTCAAGCTCCAACCAAGTACAGACGGTTTCACATCGGTCGTCGAAGTCGGGGGTTTCCCTACCCGCCGACCACTTGTTACATCTGATTCAGTTTAACGTGTTGCGAGGAGTCCACCATGCCAAGTATATCCTGGCCGGGTCATCCGCGTTCATCATCCCAGGCATTGAGAAAGATGAGATCCGCCCCGGCCACGTTTGGTTCCTTGGTAGTTCCATATTCTTCGCGACGAGGCCAGGTCTCCCAGAGAGCCTGGTTCCGACATCGTTGCAGATGGATATTGTACACTCGACATGGATTAACTTCTTACCAATCCCGAAGATGCGAGATAATCTAATCGCCAAGGAGTCCTGTTTTGATCATGCGGAATTTGTAAGAGACTTACTTGGGGACAAAATCGTGGAGTATATGTTTGGTTCTTTAAGGCCCAGCAAGCCCCCCATTGCCAGTACGTTGGCACTCACGGACGGGGACGACGACGATGTCACTGCCTCAAGACAGGGTCTTATCTTGTGGGGAGAGCCGCACAGAGTAGAAAGTTGGGAAGTGACGCCTGGATTCATACGGAAATGGGCTTGGGCTATGGAGGGGTGCGAGGAGTTAATTGTGTCGAGCAATCGATGGAGGATCATTAGAGGAGAAGAACCCATACGGGTGTCTCTATGCGAGTAATCGATCTGTTTTCGCAGGGTTACTGATGAGATATCCATAATACATGAATTATACACTCAAGAAACTGCAAGAAGTATCGGTATAGCGTCTAGCTTACAATCCACTTCGCACGAGGACAGGAGTCCATATCATCCACCAGGGCATCGATTCTCTCCGTAATCCAGCCGGAGGCGACCCTGTTCTTCTGCGCGCCCCAAACAGGCACATGGGAGGTCCAACACTTCCCATCCGTATAACTATACTGTACACATTTATCATCGCTATAGCAGAGCACCCGGCACTCCACCAAGCTCAGACTCGACTTCCCCGGCGCCTCCCCAATCCGATTATCCCAACCGGCGACCGTGCCCCCTAACTTCGGCCGGACGATATGTCGAAACACATCCCGATACAAGACCGGGTTACGATTCCCATCGCGGGTCCATTTCCACTCAAACTCCCAGAGTTCTCGAATCTGCTCAGGCCCCAAATGATGATACGCAACCGGCGCATAACACCACGGCTTCTTGTGATACCCCTCCGAGAAAAAGTCCAGCTCGCTGGGCTGCCCGGAGATCAAAACCGGCCAGGCCCACAGCATCCCCACGCCCGCATCCGCCATCAACTTCCCCAATACACAATCGCCGGCCCAATGATCGTTCGTCACCCGATCCCACGCATCCACATTCTCCTTCCTCAAGGTGACCGCCGCGCGCATCGCCGGGTTAGAAAGCACAAACCCGGACCCACCATGCGCAAACACGACATCGGCGATCTGCATCTGATTGCCCAGATAATACGGCTGCTGATGCTCCAGCTGTCCCAACCAGGATACCAAATTCGGCCAGAAGAAATACGTATCGGCCTCCATGAAGACGTACCATTTTGCGTCGTCGCGCGCCTTCAACGTCTCCTCGATCATGGGGAGGAACTTCCACTTATCCAGTTTCCAGCCTGGGTTGTTCGGTTTTCCGAAGGCGGAGTTGGTGTCCGGGTTCATGTCGGAGGTGGTGAGGGCTGTGCGCCCGGCGGCGCGGACGCGGTTGTAGATGCTGAAGTCTGGGTTTGATTGTTTGATGTCCTCTGCTACATTTTCGAGGACGTCGTGCAGTTGAACATTGTTGATCTTCTCGGCGTAGTCGGAGAAGATTATGTAGTTTGGGATACAGCGGAGGGTGGTTTGGAGGTGGATGGGGACTTTGTCGCGGGCTTCGGTGACGCCTGTTTTGAGGATGACGAAGATGTCCTCCAGGCCGGGGATATTGGGACAGGCTGTGTCGGCATTTTTCTCTCTATGGGGGAATGCGATCGGGGGCGATGCGTTTTGGTGATTGATGTATATGAAGAGGATGACCAGGAGACCTAGGATCGGGCTGATCCAGGTAATCCGGCTGCGAGGCGGATGACGAGCAGGACGAAAGGCCGTCATGGAGCAGAGGGATCGGCACCAAGGTGACAACAGCAGCAGCAGCGGGCGAGGGAGGCCATGTCGCGACTTTTAAGCATAAGACGCACGGTGCGGGCAACGACTCATGGCCTGCATTTTTTTTGTTTGGACGTGGGGAACCAGGGGACCCCCTGATCAGTCGCGCGGCTGACGTGGACTTGGATTGATTGATGGGATGTTCGCGTTTCCCTCCCTGGGATGGTTATGTGGCCTGTCGGATTATTGGATGGTCTTGAATGGCTCGCGGTGGGTCTTGTGGGGGGGTTTCGTCGTTTTTTTGTTTCCTTCTCTTTATCTTGACTTCCTGCGCGGTGCACGGACACGGTCCGGACCGTTCTTTTTGTCCATCGTGCGCTGCTTCTAGGCAGACATGAACCACGCCGATCCCTGCACTGCTTTTTCAGGGTCTTTTGTTTCTGTTTTCTGTTTTCTGTCTTCTGTCAGTTGAGTATCGATTGGGTTTGGGTGTGGGGAAGACCAACTGTGCTTTGCAGAATATTGCAACAACTCTGTCCCTTGCAGTTGTTTATAACTTACCTTGTTCGGACCTGTGGCGCTGAGTGGCTGAGACCATGAGTCAAAGCCACCAAACATGAGGCTCTTTATTATACGAACGTGACTCAACATTATCTAACCATTGTCAAGCAAGTAACTAACTAAAACCACAACCTCATAATAGACGGTGACGATGTGGCACCAAGAAATGCGGGGTATAAAACCATCTTTACTCCCTTGTAGAGGTCATAAAAGTAGAAAAGGTATAGAAATCATTATTAATTCATCCTGGATCCACTTGAACGGTGAGGATCGCCAGCTATGGCGGCCGTCATCGACGAACCCCAACTCATAACACGCAATCCCTTTGCGCGAGATCCAGCAGTGCGGCTACGTGGCAAATCAAAACCGAAGGGCGTGCAACGAGCGAGACTCAAGCATCGCACCATAATCGAGCAGCAAGCCGCAGCAGAGGCAGAAGCAAGATACAAAGCAGCAATCGAGCAAAAGACCGAGCCCGATCTCATAGATAGGTGCGTGAATCCCTCATATATCCCATACTCGGACCCAAAACTAACGAGCTCAGATTCTTCGCCCTACCTCCAGAAGTTCGAAATCATGTCTACCGTCTACTCTTGGTACAACCATGCAAATTCAGCTTCAATCACACCTTCCAATGCAAGCGATTCTCATACGAATACCCAGGTCCAGCCCATACTGCCAGTGGCCCAGAAAGCAACATGAACTTTGCCTGCGCCGACTGTCGATGGTACGCTTGGGGCCAGCGACTCCCTGTCTTTGTTTCTCCTGCGCGCAGCCAATGGTCACCCCCGATGACGAACGAGTACATGTGCGATAACTGCTACTCGGAGAATATCCGGGCCAAGCGAGAACCCCATCCGACGTTGCGGAATCTCAAGTGCCTATGTGCGCGACGACAGAATCTTCATATTTTCCTCATTAATAAACGGTTTTATACCGAGGCGTCGCATGTGTTCTGGACGGAGAACTGGTTTGCATTTGAGAACCCGACTATTCTGATTAACTTTCTGTCGTGTATTCGGCCGCAGACTCGGTCGTTGATTACCAAGATCTCGTTTATGATTGATCCGAATGAGGTGGGTATGAATCTGGATCGGAAATATGTGCAGCAGTGCTGGCGGTTGTTGTGGTTGTGTGATGGGTTAATGGAGCTGGAGCTGGATCAGTTCTTTCTGTCGAATGTACAATGGGTCCTGGGAATAAAGAATATTACGCCGAAGAGGCGGATTGCTTTCATGAAGACACCGGAAAGGGCGGAGATTGCTTATTTGATGACTTATGACCGGCGCATTTGGCAAGGCGTTTCGAGACGGCAGCTTGTGAGAAATCTCTTAGCGGACACACTGGCTGAACGTATGTTAAGGCGGAGACCTATGAGGGCGAAGGCATTGCGGGCGCTGTTTGACAAGCATCTGCGGAGGGAGAATGGAAATATAAGTAGTGATGAAGACTGAGATGTTGTCCTAGCGCAGGCCGGGGCACATAGACGTTATAATGACTTGATGTATAGTATAATTTTCACGAATCAATATCACATAATCTCATAAAGTTGAATTCATCCTGTGTCTGGAATACATGGAGAAAGAAGCAATGCATAGGTATCTGTGGCAGCTTTATAATCCATACTCATTAAGCTCAGTGTATATTCACCAATGCCAATACTAAAGAATGATTTCTCCACATATTCTATACTAGATCAAACATAGCCAATACATGGATGTGTTCTTATTCCTTTTGTTTTCTATTTATATTACACTTTCTTAGTACATCGTGAAAACTATATCTTTAATACGTCAGTGCTTGAGTTCTATCACGACAAAGCCCATCGACAGATCCGTGTACGGGGTATGGGGCGACATTTCCACTTCTTCAAGGGTTTATAAATTCCACAGCGCAATATTCAATCTCAGCAGTACGAGACCGTACCGAAGGTCTTCGGTACACAGGGGTAATAGCCGACTTTCAAGGTAAATTAACAGACTCCGTTCCTCTAACATATGTACACACATAATCCATATTCAACTCCTAATTATACACCCCCACTCAACTCTACTGTGCAACCAGCAAACCCCGATATCTCATCTTCCCCTCCTCCAATGTCTTCAAACAATCCTCAATGCCCTCCTTACTCATAGGATAAGTCATATTAATCGGCTTAATACCATGAAAAGCCGCGAAGTCCAACATATCCCGATGAACCTGTCTGGCCGAGACAATCGACCCCAAGACCTTAAACCCATTCCCCAAAAGCGGCATATACGGGAACTTGAAATCCTCCAAATCGACCGACAACGGCGAGATAGTAGCCCCAGGATTCAGAATATTGACATACTGATTCCAATCCGGCTGACTACTAGTCGTGACGATGAGATTGTCGAGTTTCTTCTCCACATTCAATTCCTTGACACCCTTGGTGGCATAAAACTCTGTAGCGCCTAGCTTCTTGGCTTCATCTTTCTTGTTATCACTCCCGGAAAACACAACAACTTGACACCCCATCTTAGCCGCGAATTGAATAGCCAAATGACCCAATCCCCCGACTCCGATGATCCCCACGCGCGCCGTGGGTTTCACCCCCGCCACATGCAGGGCATTGAAAACAGTCGAACCACCACACATCAACGGCGCTGCGTCTTCATTCTTGATCCCATCCGGAATCTTGAAGAGAAATGACTCCCGCCATATAGCATGTGAGGCAAACGATCCCTGGTCCAGATCTGCAGCGGCGTACATCTTCCGCTCCGGACAGAAGGTCTCCCACCCCGTTAAACATCGGGAACACCGGCCACAGCAGTCATGTTCGTAGCCCCAGCCCACTCGGTCGCCCTTTTTCAGGTCTTGTACTTCCGGGCCGGTTTCTTCGACTACACCCGCGCCTTCGTGGCCTAGGGCCATGTCCGCGTGTCGGTAGTGGACGTCTGTGAAACAGACCCCGGAGTGGGTTACGCGGACGTACACCTGGTCTTTTTGGAGGCCATCGCGGTGGGTCGTGGATTTTTGGATCGAGCCGTCTTTAGAGCCTTTGTAGATGGTGAAGTCGTAGCCCATGGTTTAGGTTTTTGGCTGGTGGATTTGGGGGCTAGTTCGTGGTTTGTTGGCTATATCGTGGTTTATTGGCTATATCGTGGTTTATTGGCTGGATGGTATTGCTTGATGGATTCAGAATTCGACTCTGGAAGGACCTTGAAGACGTTTTCCTGTACTCCTTAGTTATATAGCTGGTCGATTTTATGATGTCATGATAACTAGCAACATACCAATTACTGAAAGCGGCGAATAAGGGTTGCATCACCGACGTGGATCCACAACTACATCACCACTCACTCACTCACTCCCTCCCATTCCCGGTCTGGATCGCAGGGTCAAAGTTTCATTTTTTTGATTATGTATTCTACTCATCTTGCTTACAAAACTTCGATTCCCTAATTATGATTACTTGTACTACCAGGGAATCTCCGCCCCGTCGTATTGATTAAATCCCTGTGTCTGTTCCCACCCGGGCACATGAATGTTGAGGAATTTCCCATTCGTATCCTTATGGTTAGCCTCAAGGATGATCTTCATCACTGCTTCGGCGCCAGTCTGGACTGGTAGATCTGCTCTAGGTCCACCGAGATCGGTTTTCAACCACTGGAGTCTAATTAGCATTGTTCCTATAACTTTGATTTCCAATTGATAGGAGATACTAGCACATACCCCAGGGCTAACACAGAAAACAGTAAATCCCTCAGACTCAAGACTAAGTGCATACTGAACAGTCAGCATATTCAATGCAGCCTTGGTGATATTATACGCTGGAGTTGATTTCGCCATGAACGGCGAGGCGTTGCTTATGGAACCCAATGTTGTGGATCTATATCTGTCAACTATCTTTCTATATTATGGAAACATACAAGATCGGGCCCTACATGTTGGTAATGACCTTTCGCTCTCCCTTGCGAAGAAGCGGTAGGAATGTACGGGTTACTTCATGCGGTGCGTTTACGTTAATGTTGAATGCGTCGCTGAGATTGTCCCTATTTGGTCATGGTTAATTGGATTTTTCTTTGAGTGGAGGGTAGTGTGTTGTATTAGTACATGTATTCTGCACCTCCCTTGGTCACGGGTTGGATCCCCGCGTTGTTGATTAGAACATCTAGACCGCGCCCTTGGAGCTGGCGCTCTATTTGCCGTGCCGCTGTCCTGATGCTGATCGTGTCGGTTACGTCGAGCTGGACGTAGGATGCGCGTCCGGAAGACTGGTCGATGAGTTCTTTGAGGTTGGGGCTGGGTTGGGCTGATCGCGAGGTCGCGAAGATGGACGCAACTTGTGATGCAGGGAGGGAGAGCAATTGAGACACAAGGGCGAGGCCAAGACCCCGTGAGGAGCCGGTGATGAGATAGCTGGCCATGGTCTGGCTATCTGGGTCAAGTGATATTGCGGGAATTGGTGTTTATGGTTATGGTGCTGGTAACTGGCATAAACGTATGGACAGCAAGGGTCAGGACAGAATGTAGGCGATATATATCTCGGCCCGTCCGGGTCTGTAATGTTATTAAGGTGATTGAATTCTCAAACCAGTGAAGTTGAATACGAGGTGTATTCCGCGAATTGGTAAGCTAACAGACCTCAGTGTGATACAATTCTTCCTATACTCTGCTGGTTGTCCATATGAATCAAGAAAGCAATGATATCACTGCTGCGGGCGCGGGGCTAGCCATCGATTGCCCGCTATCTCCAATCTCCATACAGTCACGTGAGCGATGGCTTCTACTGAATGCGGGATTCGATTGGTCAAACTGCGTGTGTGCCTGACACGAGACGCATCCTTCATTAGTACTCAATAGTACAGATCGTTATTAGCCTGGGTGTTTACCTTGGCTTGGTCTTAATTCTTGACAAGCCATGTGGCTGGTTTGAGTTCTGGATTTTACTTTTACTTTTACTTTTACTTTCAATTCTCAATCCCAACTTGTTGGGCATACTGAGGCATGGTAGTATCCATCACTTTTGTGACAGAAGCAGAATATCGAAAGCTAATTCCTGTTGCCAGGTCGGATTCCGCCGATCTCCCCCCTTTATTCCGATCGTGTACGAAAATCACCGGGCCAAGGCTTTTCTGAGTGCGAACGCTATTTCTGGAATCCTCTATACCAAAGTAATTAAGAAAGGCAGTCTGGCTACCCGCTTGTTAGGTAAGGCCATCCGATTTCTCCCGGTATAGATCCAAGTAAAGGGGGGTTATGCACCCCTTTGTCAGGACCCTGAGTGTAGGGTAGGAACTTGATCCTAGTAAAACACGGCATAACGTGGTTCAGACTATAGCTCGGTAGCTAAACGTCTTTGCCCAATATGTGATCAATCAAACTGCTAGTGGTTAATGAGAAAACCCGTTGATATTATTCTCCGAAAATGGTCTGTGGGGTTGACAGGTCCCGTGGATAAGGACTACCTTATAGGGCGCACGATGGAAAACGGGAACGGCCCCAGCCATTGTTCTACCCCTGGATTGATGTTCCATATTATTGTTTCTGTTCCTCTTCTCTTCCTTGTTGCAACATGGTGTCGACCCTCGAAGAATCGATGAAACTGCTCCGGGCCGACGGTTGCGGAATGCTCCGATCATCGGCCCGAAAATCTCGTGCACCTAAAATTGGACACAACGTCCCGTTATCTATCCTAAACCTAGAAGACGAGATCATGGGATATAGAAATGTAGTTCAAGCATAACAATCATGCTGCAAGGTGATTTGGACAGCATGAAACATGCAGCTACCCCAATTATGGATGAGAACGTATATGTCGATGACGGTTTCCATGACCAACGCCAAGAATGTGCCAGAGCGATCGTTTCCGGAACCAAGACATTGCCAAGCCCTTAGTTGGCCACAGTCTGCCATCTGGTTCTGCAACGATGAAATTGCGGACAATCTGTCTCTAGTTAATACTCCTGTAAACTCCATCCCAATGAGATCAGTAACCGTTGCCCATAATGAATTGCCCGTCGCGCACTGATGATACGCTCTTGCATGTCGAGTGGAATCAGAACCCGCCCTTTCTGGCGCCGGATCTGACTACTCGCCAAGACCTGAATGGGATCTCGAACGCCCGTGAGAATAAGGAGGGAGATGGGAATGGTAGTGGCTCTGGACAATCGCTGGCGTGCCTCAGTGAGAAAGGGAGGATGAATTCGCCGCCCATTGACCCACAAAAGAATATAATTTGGGATAATGGGGCGTCACTGACATCAAAGTCAGGTATGACTCCCTTATTTTCGTTACTTTTCTATGTTTACATGGTCTGTGAGTACCCGGCTGGCGGCATCGACGCTGATGAGCATCTCCAGGACGTCCCATTGACCTAATGACCAGCCTTAATGCTGGTCAACAGAGTGGTCGTAGTCAAAATAATTCTCAATCTTTCCTTCAGACATTTAAGAGCTGGGCCTCGTGGCTTCTGTCGGTTCTGTTCACGTCAGCATTGATTTCCCATACTAGTATTGGGCGATATCTGCAAGGCTCGGAGGTGTCCCCCATCCCCTCATCAGGTAAGACGAATAATCCCACGACTGAGTTTCATACAATCCCCAAAACTAATCGGGCCAAGGGTTTGAACCAATTGAAAGAGACCTTCCTTTCGAGAAACGAGGGACGTGTGCGCAGGGCGGTGTTGGGGGTAGCGACTACAACCTTGCGCTGCATGTTGGCGGGCTGTTCATCATTTTGTCAGTTTCAACACTGGCCTGCGCTTTTCCGGTTCTTGCCATATGGTTTCCGCGTCTCCGCATCCCGTCGTCATGTCTCTTCTTCGTCAGTCATTTCGGTACTGGTGTTCTGATTGCCACTGCATTTGTGCACTTGCTCCCCACTGCGTTCCAGTCTCTGAATGATCCATGCCTGTCGAAATTCTGGACCACCGACTATCCCGAAATGCCAGGAGCCATTGCCCTCGCGGGAGTGTTCCTAGTGACGGTGATTGAGATGGTCTTTAGTCCCGCCAGACATTGCTGTCGTGGAGGAACGAGCCTGTCGGACCCGCCACCCTATCTTGCTCGACCAACTGAGAAGGAAACCCCCATAGAAAGGGCCCACGTGGTTGATTCAACTGTTTGCAACGAGAGAGAACGACCGGCCGGCGTAGAGCCTCTTCCTCACCTGCGCGATATGGGCCCTTTGATCGGTAGGTCTTCTAGCATAAGCCGTGCTATCAACCAAATGGGTGAAGACCCAGAACGTATTTGCCGCATTTCCTCCGCTCCAGAGACTCCTCAATATCGGCAAGGACCGAAGATCGAGCCGGTCCAAGAAGATGTGGAGCGTAGCGATGATGGTCATGTCATGACTCCGGAGCAAAAACATCGCAAAGATGTCATGCAGGTCGTCTTGCTGGAGATGGGAATCCTGTTTCATAGTGTTTTCATCGGCATGTCACTCAGTGTTTCGGTCGGCAGCGAGTTTGTGATTCTATTGATTGCCATTGTCTTTCACCGTTTGTCTCCCTATCCTTATACCTTACACTGGTTGGTTATTTGCTGATAGTTGGACACAGAAACATTCGAAGGTCTTGCTCTAGGCTCTCGTATCGCTGCTCTCGATTGGCCCGAGAAAGCCATGCAGCCCTGGCTCATGTCCCTGGCTTATGGATGCACGTAAGTCTGACATCATTTCGATCCTTTCTTTCTTGGTTATGAAGGGCCAAAGTGGCTGATGTATGCAGAACCCCAATCGGTCAGGCTATTGGTCTTGCAACCCATACTCTCTATAGCCCGGACTCGGAAGTCGGCCTTCTCCTCGTCGGTGTCATGAACGCCATCTCCGCTGGACTTCTGATCTTCGCCTCATTGGTGGAGTTGATGTCAGAGGACTTCCTCAGCGATGAGAGCTGGCGCGTGCTTCGTGGCAAGAAGAGAGTTTATGCTTGCATTATTCTCTTCATGGGTGCCTTCTGCATGAGCCTGGTTGGCGCGTGGGCCTAGTGGACTTGCAATAATTCGGGTGAATTTCGCTGAGATATGGTACTATTTATCAGGAACCAGATGAATATACTTCCTTCATACAGGATCTTGGATTGTGTGGAATTTGTTAGGTTCGTGGTTTGAGGGTACATTATAGTGTAGTTGTGGTGGAGACAAACGGAGTACTAGAGATAGACTTTTTGAGATGGATACTTAAAAGCGTGAACCTACCGGGTTTCATTGGTTGATTTGACCCCACAGGTTCGGAAATACGGATTAAATCACGTGGAGTAAATCCGATCTCTTTCACCATGTTCGTAATGATTCAGTCAATCGTAATATTAGCAACAGCTGTGAGTTAACCGAACAGCCTAAACGGATATAAAGTAATCCTTACACCTGGGTTGCTCCAATGGCCGATACTCCTGCATCCCTGCAAACAGGTTGGCGGATATCCAAAGCCTGCCAAGAATGCAGGAAGAGAAAGATCAAGTGCAATGGCAGCAATCCATGCAAAACCTGTCAGCTACGAAATACACCTTGCGTCTATCGTGATGTGATTAGACAGCGCAAGAGAAAAAACCAAACGAATCGTGATAGCGATTCCTTTGAGTCAGAAGTGACAACGCGCTCTGGGTATGGGGCGGGCCCGCGATCGCCTGGCCTACCACCGCGGCGGAACCCATCAAATAATTATACCATCAACAACAGTGTGTCAGCGACGCATGTGGAATCTCCGTCATGCAAGGTTCAGCTGTACTATGGTTCAACGTCGCACTTTGCTCTCATGCATGAAATATATCGAGATCTAGTGTCCAACCAGACCCCGGGCTTGGAAAAGTCTCATGGCGAGGTTGAAGAGGCTAGAGCCAGTTTGGATATGTTCAGTTTCCGTCGAATCTTCTTTGGGACACCGGATGAGCCCAAAGAGTCGATAAAAGGCTGCAAGGCAATGGATATGCCGGTCATGTTCTTGCCTCGTGAGGTAGCTAATCTATTTCTGCGGCGATTCCTGTCAACGTTATACACCTTGGTTCCATTTCGCTCTAAAGAGTCCTTTGAACAGCAATTGGAGCATCTCTACAACCCCGTCCCTGGAGCTCGCCCTGAAACCTGGGGCCAATGTATGCTTCTGTTAGCGCTGGCTACAGGAGCTCTCGGCACAGAGCATTATCGCTGGGGTGATGTGCTGTATGATCGTGTGAAAGCAACTTGCGGTCCGTTAGATGACATTGTGAACTTGGAGACGGTCCAAGTATCGCTGCTCATGATAAGTGTTCTTTTCTTCTAATTACAAAGATACCAGGAATCTAACTTTCCTAGCACGCCCATTACCAGAGTGAGCAGGGGCGACCGAACTCATCCTTTCTTCACTTGGGTGCTGCGTCGCGAAAGGCGCTGTCAGCTGGACTGCATAAGGAAGCTCCAAGCCAAGGCGGGGAGTCTACAGACAGTACGCAAGAGCGGCGGTTGACATTCTGGTCTCTATATTTCTACGAAACGTTTGTCTCAATTGCTTGATCACACTTGGCTAATCTAACCTTGCCGTAGTTGGTTCTGTTTCCATCTGGGACGCCCCTCTTCACTCTCTTTACGGGACGTCGGTATCGAACTACCAGAGAACCCTTTTCTGTGTACCTTGACTTATGTCTCTAAAATTATCGCTCGACTGGCAGACGAGATGTTCGGTCATCACCATGACTCGCTTTTGCAGATGTGGAGACTTGCCAGATCTATCACGGACGATTATCGACCATATGAGATGCAGATGCAACAGGCCATTGGTGTCAACTTGGATACATGTCCTCAACCGGGCTCCCTCGGCGTGCAGCAGACGATACTAACGACCAGTAAGTGGTTACACAGCTATAACTCGACTAATAACTGACGACGTAGTTTACTACCACACGGTTCTCTTGACCTTCCGTCCGTTTCTGATCTTCCGGGGCCGGTGGCAGCAAGATATGAAGGACCCTTCTCAACATGGCAGCAATCGTCCAACAGAAGCCCCCGCATGGCTTAATGAGGCTTGCAATAAAGCCCTTGGAGCCTCCTGTAGAACTATTCAGTTTCTAAGTGAAGCGGCTGCGGCTAACGAGTTTGTCCGAGTGAGTTACTCCAAAAGAGGCTGTAAGATTTTCAAATAAATCTTCTAATCATGGAATAGGAACTCCGCTATCACGGATACTTTCTAGGAAGCGCCTCTTTCGCCATGATCTACGACCTAATGCATGGGAAAAACCTTGCTCCCACACACCTTCCATGGATTTACGCCGCCCTTCAGAGTCTGTCAACTATGCGAGAAGGCGATCCTATCAAAAGCACAATAACGGCTATTCAAACTGTCCTGAGGAAACTGAATCCTGCTTACGAGTGGGTCCCTCCAAAGGCATACAACAATACTATGGGTCAGCAATCCACCACTTCACGGCCATACTCTAGTGATATTCCAAATCCCCAGACTCAGCGTATACCCGAACCGTCCTTGCCGGGAATACCGCTACAACCTTTCCAAACCAGTAACGGTTTACCCATTCTATCGGAGTTTCAGAATAATTCGCTACAGGCTGCGCTCAACCCGCCTAGCGGGAGTCTTGGTAGCGGCGAGGATCTTTTGGATCTTACGCTGTCTGATGTGGGATGGGACTTTGATTTCTCCACCATGGATCTGGAGACGTTCTTTTCGATTTATCCCAATGTGGAGACTCCGACTGCGTGACCAACAGTGAGCTAGGTTGCAGCTTACGCTGTGTTTTGGTGAAGAGGATAATTATAACCCCATTATCAACACAGAGTTTCATGATCTTAACTATATGATATCTCATAAAAGTCATAATGCTAATCGCCGAGAAACAAGAAATCCAAGATCCATGTATATCACCTCACAAGAAATGACACCCCATCAAGCAATCAACCAATGATTCCCCAACGCCTTCAGCTGCTGAACCCAACCAAATATCCCTATAGAATCAGGGCCAGCCTCATCTCTCAACCTCCAAGCCATCTGCATAACCTCCACCGCAGTTTGCACATACCCCCACGGTAGAACATTCCACAGTAGGCTTAAACGATCTAGAGCCCACTGCCGATACACGGGATTATCAGTCTCCGCGCCCGCAATGAAAGTCGGCCACGAGGTGGCTTTGGATAGAGGATCCTTGGGATCGATGAATGAGAGATGATGGATAATCTCAGTAACTAGGGCTTCTGAGTTCATATCGACTGGAGGATGGGTGATACTTCGGTATATGTATATGCAGACTGCGTTTTGGTGGGCGAGAGCTGTGTGGATACGGTTTGGGGTCCGGTGTGTTGGGGCGCCTTCGACGTTGTTGGCCCAGGCGGTCACATCGAAGGATTGGGCGGCACTTAGTAAGGAAGAAGCTTCGTTGGTTAGAGCGGGAGTTTCGGTGACAGGAAGAGTGAATGCTATATTGGATAGTTCACATGCTCGGAAGAGGATCTGGAGGAGGGTTGTTGGGAAGGAGAGATAGCTGTTTGCTTCAGATCGTCTGAGGATATTGATGGGAAGAGCGAATGGGTCCAAGAAGGTGGGAGAGTTTGTGAGGGTTGAGCCCAGGACATGATATCTGGTGTATTGTCACATTAGGATGGGCCTTTCATGCTATTTTCTTTTGGGGTTGTTGACTTACGTTAAGCAATCCGAGGTGATGCGATCGCGAATCAATGCAATTGGAGATGTTTGGTCGTTCTGGAACGGCTTTAGAGAGATAATCAGTGTCATTGCGCCTTCGACATGCGCTCTCCATGCATTTTTGCCGGAGTCGATGAGCTCGAGGTTGATGAAGAGGAGTATGACTGTCACTATGAGGTCGACATCTGTGGACGGTAGATTCTCCAAAGCTGCCTTGAGAAGGTGGATCGCTTTGTGCTTTGCTGATAGGGCATCTAGGATTGCACCGGCGGGGGAGTCTGTTGAATCTCTTGCAAGGCTCAGGGTATTCACGGGCGTACTATCTGAGAGCGATCCTTGTACGCTGCCATTGCGTAGGTCAAAGCTTGGGCGGCTCATGCTCGAGATATGCATCGCGGCATTGGCAACTATGATTTGGAGCAAGATAGGATGATCTCTACATGTGGGAATCAGACTGCGGAATGGGTTTTCGTTGGGAACATCAGCTATCACAAGGTCTTCGCAGAGAATTGTAGCAACTGTAGCATTGATTAGTATGGTCAGGATCTAGGCGTGACTTTTCTGAGCACAACCCACAATGGCATAGGTAACGTCTAGAGGGATTATCCATATCTTGGAAAAGTGGGTCAACCGGCGACATGTACAGTGGTGCCCGGAGATCATTAGGGTCGAGAATGCTGGGCTTCAGATCACATGAGAAAGTCCAAACCCTAGTGTTTCCTTCTGCTTCAATTGACTGGGTAAGTGGCTGGTGATCTGGCATTGCATAGGTCTTGCCCATCATCTTCCCCCTACTGGCCACACCCTTGTTCCAGATGAACAGCTTGCCGTAGCCTAGGCATTCCTGTCCAGTGTTCATACATTTATGACATGCCGGGACAGAACGGTCGCACCTCCATCGCTTTCTCCGGCAGTTGTGACACGGTTTTGATTCGGGGTTCTCTTGCATTGAGAATCTGGCCTCCGAGAACAGACTGCCAAGAGAGACCCACAGGAAGATATCAGAGTGGAAAATGGAGGTGAGTGGCTATAGATTAGCTGCCTATGATTCAAAGGTCTTGAGGGTTGCTACGGTGGCGATATCAAATTTTCGGAGTCAGGCATAACCTGCAGGGTTGAGTGTAGAAGCGGAGTTGTAAGCCGATGGAGAGAAACGCAAAAGTTGCGTCTTGGCTACTCTTTTCGTATAAGAGGTCCACTTGGGAAGCTTGTCATAAATCGCGACAACCACATTGGCTGGGAGACAGCTCAGCTTGGATTCTGACTCGTCGGAGTGGGCCTTTACCCTACCTCGTTCGCTTCCCACTCCCAATAATTGATACCTGCTTATATATACCTAGAAAAATATCTTTTATCGTTCTGATTATGAAAGAGAAAGCTTTTGCGGATCGACGGGTGATCGAGTGGCCTCTGGCCTTCTCCCTTGCCGATATTTCATATCTGACGATATCTCTCTTCGACTTTATCAGGTCACCAGACTCCTTGAGATCGTTTCACAACGTGGCCCATGACCTTGTTCTATCGCCATGGAGATTCGTGCAGACAGTGTAACTAGCCAAGATAGTCAAACAAAGTCTGATCAACAATGCACACCCGACACAGTCCAGCTCGAGCAGCTTGGACGGCAGCGGCCAGCGATATTTGCCAACAATGTGATAGAAATAGGGTTCTGTTTCTCAGTGCTGGCATCTATGCTCCTAGCAGTAAGAAACCTGTCAACTACTATTAAAAGGCTTATCTAATTCAAACAGGAGTACTTTATCAGTGGCTTCAATACAATCCTACCGGTTTTAACGGATGCCCTTGACATACCAGAAGAGGCAAAGACTTGGCCCGCAAGCGTTTTCTCCTTGGTCACCGGTGCATTTCTATTACCGGCCGCTCGCCTCGCTGATATATTCGGTGCACATATTGTCTTCAATTCCGGCTTGGTTTGGTACTTTGTCTGGTCCTTGCTCGGCGGCTTCAGTAAAAACTACATGATGATGATATTCTGTCGTGCGTTACAAGGACTAGGACCCGCGGCATATTTACCGGCTGGCATTATGCTGATCGGAACAATCTATCGTCCTGGTCCTCGCAAAAACCTTGTCTTTAGTCTGTATGGAGCATTCTCGCCGTTGGGATTTTATTCAGGTATAGCCGTTAGCGGGCTTTCTGGACACTACCTCACATGGCAGTGGTACTTTTGGATCGGTGCCATAATGCTCTTTGTTGTGTCGATCATCTCGGTACTCTCTCTGCCATCAGTTAAGTCGTCAAGTCACTCGAAAATGGATTGGTGGGGATGCGCAACCATCATTCCGGGGCTATTGTTGCTAGTGTATGCTATCACAGATGGTACGCACGCCCCAGATGGCTGGCGAACCCCCTACATACTGGTCACATTTATCCTGGGCATCCTGTTTCTCTGTGCCGCATTCTACGTGGAGGGGTGGGTCGCTTCATCGCCATTACTTCCATTCGATATATTCAAAGTGAAGTATATGACACCACTGTTCACATCGCTACTTTTTCAATACGGTGTATTCGGTGTCTATCTATTCTATGCGAATTTCTAGTAAGTCCTAGTTAATCCATTCAGCCCACCAGGCACTCACTGACTGTCTCTATAGCATCCAAACGATCCTCGGCAAGGATACACTAATAACCACGGCATGGTTCGCCCCAATGGCTGCCGGCGGCCTCATCCTAGCGACAGCCGGTGGATTCACGCTACACTTCCTCCCAGGAAAGCTCCTCCTCATGATATCAGGGTGTGGATATCTTGTAGCCATGCTGCTGTTCGCCCTCATACCTGAGAATCCCAGTTACTGGGCCTACATCTTCCCCGCCATGCTCGGGACAACCATTGGGTGCGACATTACATACAGTGTCAGCAATATTTTCATCACTACCAACTTGCCCAAGGATAGACAGGGGGTAGCTGGTGCTGTGATCAACACCACGGTCTTCGTCGGCATCAGTCTTTTTCTGGGAGTGGCTGATCTGACAGTGTCTGAGACTGCGTATCTCGGTTTGAAAGGTAGTTATAAGGCTGCCTTTTGGTTTGGCGTGGCTTGTGCGAGTGTTGCTTTGGTTTTCTTGTTGTTTATTAAAATTGGGAAGGCAGAGAGTGACCTGACTGTTGAGGAGAGGGAGCAGTTGCGGGCTTCTGCGGCGGAGGGTAATGTATAATGTCGTGATGTAGATAATTTGAGTGTCAGGTCCTAGATAATGATATCCCTTCCTGACAAAACATTTTGCTATTCGTTCCCCACAAGGGACAGGTTACAAGAGGCAACATGCCACGTTTTATTGCTAGATTTAATCCTGTTAGCCTGTATACAAGAGGGTTAATATAACCAAAGACTGCAGTGGTTATTATAAACTATTTCCCTAGCAGCCCTATGTTAGACTAGCTTGGCTGGCGTCATGAGAGCGGGAATGTACCATCAATCTACATACTTACTTTCGCCGAATATAGACCAAAGGCTACGACTATTAGGTTACTCTACCGGACCCTGTTAAGGTCTGTTTTTTGATCCACTGGTGACCATGCCTGAATCTAGATAACATTTTCTATATCAACCCGAGAGGCCCCTTTATATGGCAGGAGGCTAGGTCCTTCGTAGGCGGTTTATAGGACAATGAGAAACACGGTTGTTTCCGAGAGGTCCAAATTATGTGCATGAATAGTTCACGAACCTCCTCACAACCATCTCTATCCAATGTTGTACGTGAATTCCACCCGTTTTAGAGCGATAGCTTGTCCCAGAGTCTCTGTCATTGGTGCTATTTTACTTCGTGTCCGTGTGGGAGATTCGGAAAACCCGACTAACTTTATCTCTATAATGATGGCCTTGACAATCCCTTAACTATAGTACCAGGGTCTAATCTAGAGATCTTATCGATACTATAGAATCTAATTAATACTACATAGAATATAGGCAACAATACTATTAACAGTATAACTGGAATTGTAGACGATTTAGTCAATAGTATATATAAGCTGATCCGGGGCGTCTTTAACAAACATGCCAAGATATAGAGTCTAGTAGACAGGGGTTCTGCATTGTCGGACTTTTGAAATACCATCAAGAAAGGTTGAAAATTATATACTGCCACGCTCGTTGTCCTGATCCAACTTTACCGAGGTTCTTGAGGTCGCCAAGCCCTCAAGAGGGCAACAAATATTGATAATATATCAGGATAGATCTCCGGCCAATCTCAACCCACAGGTTTGTCGGCTCTGGTTCTGTGGGGTAAGGAAGTTGGGGGCGAAATGAAAGTGCCGACTGCGAGAGATGATACTGGTCCACTCTGCAGTAGTGACAGCCTAGTACGCGCCCAGTAGGGACTAGCGAGACTAGTCTCCGACTTCAGTGCAACGGTAGAATGGGTGTTCGCCCAGTCGGAGACATTACCTGTGCGTGCCAGTATGCATCGGGAGTAGGAACTTAGCCTAACCTAATAACAAACATCTGCTAGGGAGTACAAGAAGAGCGTTATGCCTGTGGTATCCCAGAGATTGAGCCCCTTTTTGACTACTTTCGCCTCGACCGTATGTCGATATGTTCGTTAACATGAATTATCGCTCGTCATGCACGTTGCTACTTGTCGTGGTAGTCGGAACTGGTGAGAATTCTTTTTACCCTTTGGATTCAACTTACCACTTAACTGACCTAATTTACGCAATTAGCTATGGCCCAAATTTGTACCCCAGAGTATGGGTACGAAGGGTACAGTTACATTATTAATAACCAGTCAGATCTGGATGAGATTTCAGCGAAGTGTACGACTGTCAACGGGAGCATCGCGATGTCACATAATTATACTGGCGCCTTCCATCTGCCCAACATACGAAACATAACAGGTAGCTTCAAGTGGTTTCAAGACCCCGACCATATCGGCGTTTACCCGGAACCGACGTCTATTAGTCTACCCGATCTCGAGTTCCTAGGTCATAGTCTGTATTTTAACAGCCTTCCGACTTTGAAGAGTTTTACTGCACCGAAGCTGAAAATCGTGGGTTGGAATGCGGACATTGATTATGCTGAAGAGGTGGATTTACGATCATTGGCCGAATCGGAGTATTTCAGTGTCAGGGGGAATGTTTCCAGGTGAGTGAATTCGGACCAGTGATAATTGGCACAAATGCATGGTTAATGCTGAGGTGGATGAATGTAGCTTACGCCTCGACTCCTTGCGACAAGTTCGTCAACTTATGTTAATATGTAACAAGGAGAAGTGCGGCCGAGAGGCATCGCCCCACGACTCCTTGGATGTTTCCCTCCCTGCACTTAATGATGTCGGCCATCTCCACTTGGAGGGGAGATTTTCGCAGTATGACGATGTCCCAATACTGAACTTGAAGTACATACTAATGATGACTGATATAGTTTGGACACACCAATGCTCAACAATATCACTGGGATTGGACCAGGTTATTATGGCATCAAACTCCTCACAGTGGGAGGACCGCCGATTAACGTCTCTTTCCCTGAGTTAAAACACATCCAAGGAGCGGCGGACATGTCCCTGGAGGGTAATATTGCAAGGTAATTTCCAATTCAATATCCAAACTCTGGATTGGAGATTTACAAAGCCTCAGTTTATCGATGGCCAACACACGTAATCTCAGCGTTTGGCTGAATGTAAACGCCTACGACCGGCTTGACATTAACCTGCCTTTTGAGGAGGCAGGGACGATTATATTGAGGGGCAATATCTCGAGGTATGTAGATAGTCACAACAATTATATGTTTAGACACTATACTAATAGCATCTTTATAGTGTCCAATTTCCTAACCTAAAGTCTGTCGACCAGCTCCAAGTTAACACGGATGCCTCGCTCGACTGCGAATCCTTTAAGGAGACAATCATGACAGCGGTAAATGTGTCGGACTATCAATTGACTTGTACTGTAAAGAATTCAGCCTCGCATCTTGGGCTCAACCTTGGTGCCAAAGTCGCGTTTGGCAGCGTGGTTGGCGTGATTGTTGGGCTGGCCATGTGGTGCTAGGTAGCAGGAACCTAGTGCCTTGGTTGAAGGCGAACTCTTAACATAAGCTTGGGGCTCGGCAACCGGCTACATGGCCCTGGTTTCGTGATTTGGATGGCACTCATATGCTGGATAGCTTCCAGCGTCTTAATTAACTGGCCTAGACAGGTTTACGTCATAAGCGATTTATATTGAGAGGAATGTAGGGCTCAAAGGCCGGTGTGGTAGTTGCCATACGAAGGAGACAAGTTTATGGAGACCTAGTGCTAGCGGAGAAAGAAACATTTGTGGTCAGTGTGGGCCTCAATAGTCTACAACAGAGTTGGGTCGAAGCCCGGTGAGATGCACTTAGGTAAGACCTACACTGAAATCCGATAGACCATGGACTTGCAAGTAAAATGAGGTAAAATGAAGCCCGGAGAATGTTCTTTACCTGAATAACCCTGTCTAGGATTAACGGCTTTTGTGGACAACGTCAAGATGACATGACGAATCCTCTCATTTAAGGATACACCGTGTGTAGTACAAGTTGAAAGTTTTGTTTTCATTTATCCCTATATCGCTTCCATCGGCATTGTGTTCGTACACGCTCAAAAATTGTGTCTGTTACCTTTGAATATAGGCGCGTCTCATACGAGTCCGTAGACTTGTCAAGGGAAGTCCATGGCTTTTCCATCTCTGTCATGTGCTTCACGAACTCTCATTTCTACTCGGAAAACCCGATAGACTTGGCATGAAGCCATTTAGTGTGAAGATCGGAAGGATTTAACCCGAGCTCACGGTTTCCAAGACCACCCTGCTACCCATATGATTGCCCACAACACACATTGCGGGGGATGATTTCCCCATGGGGTCTGTCCCTATGTTGATCTCAAACCTAATCGTGCGATGGTCTTATATATAGGCGCTTTCCCACACAATACATCCTTGGTTCTTCAGCTCCCACCCACGCTCCCGTGAATAGCAATATCTCGCAAGCATCATGGGTCGCGCGATAACAATCTCGTCGTCTATCCTCCTATCAACAGGAGGATTTCTGTTCGGCTATGATTCCGGTATCATTACGTCGACGATTGCTTTGCCCACCTTCGTTGACTATTTCAATGATCCATCCGATACAGTCACAGGTGGCATCGTATCCGCCTTTCAAGGTGGTGCCATTCTAGGGACCATCATCAACATGCTCTTTGCAAATTCCTTAGGACGTCGTAGGACTATATTCATGGCCTCCGTAATCTCCTGCTTAGGATGTGCGTTACAAGCCGGCGCCGTGAACATGGCTATGTTAATCATCGGACGTTTCATTGGTGGTGTTGCCGTGGGCCAGCTTACAGCCACAGTCCCCATGTACGCCTCTGAAATATCAGAGGCGAAGTACAGAGGTGCCCTTTCTGGTCTACTCCAATGGATGTTGAGTTGGGGCTTCTTAGTCGCCCAGTGGCTGGGATACGGCTGCTCATTCTCCACGACTGTATTCTCCTGTCAGTCGCCATGCCTTAAACACCAGAACTCATGCTAACCACTAAGATACTAGGGCGATTCCCGCTTGCTTTCCAAACAGTCCCTGGCATTGTCCTCCTTGTCGGCATATTTTTCCTCCACGAATCCCCACGGTGGCTGATGGAAAAGGACCGCCATGAGGAAGCTCGTCAAGTCCTGAATAGACTCCGAAGTGGCCTCCCCGAAACCGTCATCGACCTCGAATACCGCGAAATCCGGGACGTGATCCTGGCCGACCGAGCCCTTGGAGATATCACCTGGAAATCGATAATAATGAAACCAACCTGGCGCAAGCGTCTCCTCCTAGGCTGCGGAGTGCAAGCCTTCGGACCCCTCTCGGGCATAAACGTAATCAACTACTACGGGCCCCGAATCTACGAGATCCTAGGGATAACTACACGGGAGTCGCTCTTAATCATCGGAATTAACGGCGCCTTAGCAATAGTCTACTGCACTATCGGGCTAGGTCTCCTCGACCGCGTGGGACGGATTAAACCCCTCATGGCCTCAGCAGGAGGCACAGCAACCGCACTGCTCATCAACGCCGTACAAGGCCAATACTTCAACCCGGAGAACGCGAACCAGATGCGCAGCATGGTGGCCATGAATTTCCTCTTCAGTTTCTTCTACACACCACTGGGCATCATTAGTTGGGTTTATCCGGCGGAGATCTTCCCCGTCGAAGTCCGTGCTCTGGGTAATGCGATCACAACGTTCACGAACTGGACGGTGAATCTTATCTTCGCGCAGTTTACGCCGCAGGCTTTGACGGCCATTGAGTTTCGGTATTTTTATGTGTTTTTTGTCTTTAATTTGGTCGCTTTGGCTTCTTATGTTTTCTTCTTTCCCGAGACCAAGGGCCGCACTTTGGAGCAGATGGATGAGCTCTTTGGCGATCAGCTTGTTCCTCATGCTATGCAGGATGCCGAGGGTGCGGAAATTGCTATGAAGGGGAAGTCGCATGTGGTTGAGTAGTTTACGGAGGAAGAGTTGATAGATAGCATATTGCTCTGGCGGCTCGTTTGTCTTAAGACACAGTGGATGCTAGCGGTACAGTCTGATTACTGAGTTATGAAGCATATTCACTTGACAGCTCTAGAGCACGACAGTGCCACCTACACATCAATGGCTCCGGGACACGCAATCGTCGGCAATAGTAAGTATCACTTAACGTCATTTATATCTACCTACACGCCTAACAGTCTCATCAAACAACGAAAGTTAAACGGTAAATACTGAACAACATTCATATAATTTTATCAAGCCCTAGTTAAGCACCTAGAAGCATAAAAGCATATTGGTATTCGCTCGCGTAAACACCATACTCCAAGCACCCACCTCCTCTAAAAAAGGAACACCAAAACTCATTCAACACTCATAATTCGTTTCAAGTCGTGAAGAGAAAGGGGCTTAACCAGATAATCGTCAACCCCAGCCGCGAAAGCCTGTTGTTGCACTGAGCTCGATGCCACTCCAGTAACTGCCATAATAGTGCTTCGTGGCAGAGAATTTTGTTCTTCATACTCCCGGATCTTGCTCGTGGATACTATTCCATCCATGATGGGCATGGAGATATCTGTCGCTGTTAGTTTAGTCCTGCCTACGTTATGTTTAAGAGTAGGTGAATTCGTACCCATTAGGACGTAGTCGAATTGTCCCGCACACGCTTTGTACTTTTCTAGTGCGGCGAGTCCGTTGGTCGCGGTCTCATAACTGCAACCTATTTTGCGCATAAAAGTAGCGAGGATCTATTGTTTGGTTAGAAAAAATATCGTCCCACAAAGAAAGAAAGAATATTTTGCTTGCCTTTAGATTTACGTCATTGTCATCCACGATGAGAACATGGATGTTCTTCTGGTTCAGGGCCTGAGGAGTGGGAAATGGTGAAAGCTCCGCAACATTTTCCCTGACCATAGGAGGCGATTCCGATCCCTTTGCGGCAGCAAATGCTGCGGATAAGGAGCGCCCACGGCCAGGGAATCCAGAGAATGGGCCTGCAACCGGGCTCTCTGACAAGGGGCTTGCTTCGCGATGGGCGTCGATGAACCGTTGCAGTGCATCATTAAGTTTGCGAGGGCCAAGTCTACCAATTATTAGTAAAATATTAGACAAGATGCGGCAGTGGGTACGTACGGCTGGGACACATAAATTATATCCGCGTTTTTAATGGCAAAGTTTCCTGGAAGAGATACCCCATGTTCACCGAGCACGATTATCGTCGTGAACTGGGTGTCGATCGGACCAGCTTCAGCGATCTTCTTTAGGCTAGACTCCTCGACGACACCAATGTCACCAGAGCCTTTATCGAGCGAATCAGCGAAGGATACCATCCACCCAGGCTGGCTGAGAAGCACATTGCTGAGTGCTCCGCGAATTGACAGCTTCCGCTTCGCCTCAGTCGTGATAACTCCCTTCCGGGCTCCTTTAAGTTCGGCATATGGATTCAGACCGATCAGGCAAACCCGCGTCATGATCCGCGATCCTGGACGCTCTCCCTGTTTAAGAGGGGCCGAGGGTGGTGGTATTTGGACGGCGTATTCAATGGGAACGTGCACATCAACCTGTGTTCCGACACCAACCTGGCTATGCACCTCAACGTAGCCACCTAGGTTGGTCACGATTTGGTGCACAATAGGCAGGCCTAGTCCACATCCTTCGGTTAACACGTCTTCCTGTGCAAAAGGCTTATAGAGCTGATGTTCAAGGAATTCTGATTCTATTCCGCATCCTGTATCTTTGACCGACAGGTGGGCAAGAGTCGTCTTCTGGTCGCCAACTCCCTCCACCTCTTTAGACAAAGAAACCTCAATGAGGCCTGAGCGAGTGAACTTGAACGAATTCCCAAGTATATTCATCACGATTCTCCGCCACCCTCCCGAGACAGAATGAATCGACCACGACTTTTGCTCTTCAATGCGGACGACGACAGACAGATCATCAGGATTGTCTAATTGTTTGATTTCAGTACCAATGGATCTGTTACCGACACCTGCGCCACTGGGTAGATATCGACCCGCTATTTTGGCAGCATTGATAAGAGACCGGTGGCCAGCATACAAGGTCTCAGAGACGTCTTCAATCAGCGTGCCGAGGTCAAAGTCGGTAGTCAGGTTGTCATAGGCCGATCCACTAGCCTCCCCTGCCTTATGTATATGTGTTAAGTTGTTGACCTTTGTGAAGTCCAAGCTGTGGAGTCAAAACGTTAGTTGCGGGGATGCACATTGAGGGAATATTTCAGTCTTACAGGTAGTTCATCGTGTCTAACAATGTCAGACCGCAAGTTTCAACCATTGTAAGCATATCTCGTTGGGCAGGCTCTAGGCGCGTTGTCTGCAGTAGTTCAGCGCTGGCAAGCATGCCATGCAAGGGTGAGCGTAGTTCATGGCTAACGGATGAAAGCAGATCCGATTTTGATTTTTCCGTAGCACTCCATCCAAGCTGGGAGAATTTGGCAACTACGGAATCACCAAATGCTCTTAAATAACAAAGATCATCCGCTCCTAATGGTCGTTGCTTATCGTTCATCCACACGATCGCACCTGCAAGCCATCGAGACTTGTCCCAGTTCCACAATGGAAGGAATATGAGGGACTTGCTTTCGGGGAAGTCATGCCCTAATCGAATAGTGATAGAATGGTGCATGGATCGACCACCATCACTACCTTGTCGGCTATGGCCACGACTACTGGTGGATTGAACTGAAAAACGTCGTGTTATGCCTGGAGGGTAGAACACTTCGCCATGTGGGAACGCCGCGAACAGTTCATGAAGCAAACCTTCTGTCAAGCCAAAAAAGTTCGAGTCGCTATTATTACCCAGCAGGTCTTCCGATAAGGCGCAACCTAACATGTCACATTGTTTCTCGGACCATGGGCCTTGTGATGACAGCCCAGGAGACTGAAGAGGTGCTGAGGTATCAGTATCTTTGCTGAGATCATCCCAGTCACTGACGCTGGCAGTTGAAAAACTAAAAGGAAAGTCAGCGTTACCAAGTTTCGAGATAACAAGGACATGACTCCTACCTCCGAGAGTTACTGCGCGACGCATCCAAAAACACCACACCATCTAACTTCATACACTCTCGCAGCAACATGCTAGCCTGAGAAAACAGAGCGGAGGTTCCAGATGATGTCACACCTTCTGAAACAGTGATCAAGTTACTAGACACGTCTGAGAATCTCCTGGCATGTTGTTGGTGTTTTTCAGGGGAGGGGGGCGCCTTCATGGGAACATCACTGCGCTTGAAGAACGATGGTGAATGCGCCCTGTCCTTTGGTTTCGGTCTCTCCGTTCCAGATTTATCATGCGTAGTGTCCGTTGACAACGAAATGCGATCGATATCAGGAAGCTCTGATGACCGATGTGAGATTTGATCCAAAGAGCCCCTGCCGCTGTGGGAGTTTCGCTCGTTGTCCCCCGGAGGTTGGCCTTTAGCAAATTCCGTGAGCGCACCGAGAAGCCGCTCAGACTTTCGGCATTTATGTAGTGTCCAAATATTTTCGAGATGTCCGGCAATGGAACTTGCGACTTGCTTTAACTTATCAACCTCACCATCGGCAAATAACGAACGTGGAGCACTGTCAGTAACACAGTATGTTCCAAAGATATCACCTGCAGAGCTGCGGAGGGGGACCTCCGCGTAGAAGCGTATATCAGAGCATTGAGTGACAAATGGATGGCCACCAATAGTATGGTCTGAGCATATGTCCAGGACAATATGACATCCGTCATTCGGTATTTCTTTGAAACCGTTGGTAGGATAGCTTCCATCAGCCTTCAATCCCAAAGTCTTTAAGCCGAGCAATGAGCTCTTCCCGTTTTCATCTTTCTTTACGATATGAGGGATTATTGCCTCCGCGATCACATACGGCTCGTTATTCTCCAGCAATGTAACGAAGGCGTGATGACAGTCTACTCGATAAGCTCCTAGCTCGGCAAGCCCTGTCAATATTGTATCCCCAGCGGCATTCTGGGTCGATGGCGGCTTTCGCAAGTATGTGGGTGAAGCGGCCGGTTCGTCTCTTGAGCCGTCCGTGCCAATCGAGCTTTCGGGGCGGTAAAGTCTACTCAGTATGGAATGCATACCGCGAGACTCGACGATGAGGAGAGCGGAGGATCAAGAAGGGGTCCCGCAGCAGCGATTCCTACCTTGATAGCTCCGCGAGCATTCGTTGCCCGGCAGGTACCGGATGTGCGTGATGGGACGCTGTCGAGTCCAGTAATGCCATGAGAGAGCTTATCGCATAGCCAGTACTCGGCGAACGTTGAAGGACGGTCAAGGGAGGGGGGGGTTCTTGGCTGTCCACCGATTAAGGGTTGATGTTATATATTCTCTTGTAGTCGTGATTTTTTCCACGTTGGGCAGGGTAAGAAAGTTAAGTCCAGAGCCCGGCCAGAGATACCTGTCCTGGAAACCTTCACAGCCTTTCCGAGTAGCCGACTGCCCTGAAAGTGGTCTAGGCCGTTGGTCACTTGAGAAGAGCCCCATTTCTGCTTCCGCTAGGGTCTACGGTTGAAGAAGTGGCACCCCAGATAAGAGGATCATAGATAGCTCTAGACCCTTGGTCCAGGTAACAACTTATGGACTAGTCTACCGCACGACCGTGGTCGCCACTCGCTAACTCGCTGCAAAACTTCCGGCCGATCAGCCCTAAGTAGCAGGTCTAAATCGAGGGTTTCTCGGCTCCGAGCCCTCATACAATGTCCACTGGCTCGCCGAGACACATATCAGGTGTGCTATACTAAGCGAAGCTGTAAGGGCAACAAAACAGCTTTCTCATTTGCTTCGACTGGTTTCGTTTTTAGCTAATTGTCCGACGATACCTTGTGATGAATTTGTGCCCCACCAGGGATGAGATGCAGAGAAAGAGTAGAATCCACCGCAGAGTTACATTTCTCGATCCCTTTATCAAGGCTTGCCGTTACCTCCTTCCGCATTCGGACATGACTCTAGTGCCTGAGGTGTCGAGTAGTCACGGGATGTTGCATTCTGGGTCCCGTGATTATCTAAACCACACCTCTTTTCGAGCTCTGATTGGGCTTTCAGGGATATTGGGGAAAAAAAGAACTGAAGATGTGATATCATGCAATGTTTTTTCACAAATAATCCAAGATTAGAAGTTTATAGATAAGATTAGCATGTCTTCGCAATGGGCTAGACTCATAAAACCCCCGATTATTTCCCGAAATACCTTCAGTCATTTGTGTGTTGTCCGAGGTATATTCCACCTTTTCGCACTAAGAGCACTAGGCATCGTAATTTTCAAAGAAAAAGAGAAGAAAAGGCAAGAATAGAAGAACTGTGCGCTAGTCTAGTATGTGCACGGGCTAAATGTCTCTCCGGGAATATTTTCCGGTGCATTTTATTTTCGGTTTGAATTTTTTACGTTTTTTGTGTCTTCTTTTCTAAACGCGAATCTCAAGGGTTCCGGAATATATATATCCTCTCCATCTCCCAACTGAAATTAGGGCCTGTATTGTAGGACGAGGTAAAACCCAAGAATAAATCTACTGAACTGCGTGAAAATCTATCTAACAGGTCTCGAGAAATCTAATTGCGTCACATATCTGAAGGTATATACAAAGTGATCATCTTTATGATGGAAAAGCTTAACGGCCAAGATAAACGGCCGAGTTTTCCACAATAGAAGCAATGGTACATACCGAGGCATTTTTGCCAGTACTTGCCACTAAGGAATCCTACAGGCAGGACATGTGTATGAATGCAACGTTCCTACATCAGAATATATGGATTGGCTAGATAAGTAGGATTTGTATAGTTCCATACTATAGATCTTACTGCTGTTTGCACCTCATCCATCAAGCAATTTGACTATCGACAAAATGCGAGGTTGGTATTATTGCCTGTCATGTCAGTCTAGTAGAAATCATGTCTCTTCTCTTTATTTTCACCTGTCTGTATAGCATGCTGTGTATAATATCCTGGTTTAGGAATTTGTATTTTATCACTCTTATAGAACAGCAAGGTCATATCTACCATTTATCTTTACGGCCTTGCCTACCTTAGATAAGACGCATTGGAGTTCTGCCTATGATGTGTATATTGCCAATCCCACTCGACCGAAATGCCAATGGCATCAAGGTCGCGCCTTGAACACTTTATTCCCCCAACATATATCATTACAATGTGCAGAGTCAGACAATTTAAAGCAATCAGCAAGCCACTGCTGAGGAGTAATCGAAGGCTTGAAAATTTTGCAAGACTTGAATGTTAAACTTTAAGCAATGATCATACTGCAACAACCGTTAAACTCAACTTGACTAACAATAGTTAACGTATCTGAAGCATAGCATTTGCTAGAATATTTAAGATGCTACTCTTGGCCTACGTCTGTACTTTGGCGGACATCAGGGGTTTATATCGCTATAAGGAGTTAGAATATGTCTCAGGAAATAAGAGTGAGAAGGAATAGAATTGGGAAATCGAAATATTATCGCACACAGTATTATTATATACGCCTACTCATGATATTCCATCAGCAAAGCCTTGACCTGGCCAGGCCACAGTGGTTGCGGTCTCTAGATCCTGAATCTTGGCAATCACAAGCACATAAAAACTTACCCTTACAGTAAACTACCAAACGCAACGTCCCCCATGCTTATCTCAGCAAAGCAAGCGGGACTTTCTATGTTGCTCCAAGAACATACGGGGATTTGAGTCTCCTACCCATATACGCTCGAAGCCCTAACCTCCTGGGTTCTCCCAGCACGTCGAAATACAGTTTTTCACCTTACCTCAACGACTAATTATGATGTTAACTTCCATCAGTATTAGCAATTTCTGTGGAGACTTGTCAGATAATCTATGATGTACATAATTGCGTCTAGACAATGAAAGTGGAGATTGACGCGAGTCATGTCTCCCGAATGCCAAGCTATGACATGTTAGCAACATCCCAGTTGGGATAGTTGTATGTTTTGCTGCACGTCCAGGATGCAGCTAAAATTGAGAAATTAACTCGGACCGGAAGTTCATCTTTCGTCAGTTTCGCAATGATTGACACAAAAAACACATCAAGGCCAGACAAACCCTGCGCCGCGATAGTAAGTGGGCCCGAACCCTTCAAACTGCTGTATATGAGACCATAAGGGTCCTGCCATTCTAGGTAGGAACAGGGATCTGGGGCTTTGTGACGTACTATGTCATGATTCTGTTGTCCAAGATGGTGACTTACATGTTTATTGAATCCCTCATTGCCGTGGACACAATCTGTTATCCTGCCTATATCCTTGCTCGCATGCAATTTATAACATGCCGGGTGACATATTTATGGGCGAGATCCTAGTCTATAACTGGATTTGCACGATTTATCTTCCAGAAAAAGCGTGGTGTGAGATCATGTTTCTTTATCTTTCTTACTAATAGGATGTTTGGTCAACTTGGTGAAGGAACATACTGACCCTAACGTAGACAGCTACTAGCAAGCTGACAGCCCAGTAATCTCAATAGATAGCTTTTGTGTATATCCGAAAGCACGGCCCAAACGGTACCCCACCTCAATTCTACGGAGTAAGCAACTGCTTCTAGAATCAAGCTGCCAGTCCCACACTCCCCTTAATCCGTTTTGCGCCTAAACATGGCCAATGACGCAGTTTCAAGTGGTCATCGTTTTTAGGGTGCACGTGCTTCTAGAGGAGCTTCATTTTTGGATGAGTCAAAGCAATGGACTGAACCTTTAACCCGGCAACTGCTTGGATAATGAGTAAAATGGAGACTATCAATGTATGCCTGGGAGAACCTCCCATAAAGGTTGGATTCCATGTCTAGCAAAATTTACATGAAGCTACTGAAGATATCCGGGAAAGGACCGTTTTAAAATGAGTCAAAGCTGTGGGCACTGTGACGTGGAATAGAGCTCTTGAAGCTCATCGCAGCTGGAATATGGAGCACAGCGAAAAATTTCAGATCGCATCTTATCTTGTTATCTATATCCGATTTTACTGCAAATCCGTGGGTCTGAAGGGCCGTAAAACCAACAGGATTGGTCCGGATGACGGAAATGCGGATGTAATTTGACCAGGCGTCGGTATTACGGAATTACGGCGATCATTTTGTCAGGCACCAGGAACCATACTTATAAGAATTAAATTCCAGGGGAAAGTTATAATAGACCTTGGAGTTAAAGCTGTTAGGATACTACAGAGTCCTTCTATCATACGTCACTATCAGTGTTTTATGAGCTGTGGATATTCTAGTGTGAGCAATTGGTATGACATGGACTTCTTCATAGATCAACACACAGAGTACTAAGAATCGCCAAGATAGGGTGCGTCGGTAATAGCGTTTTCCACCATGGATACTCCATCCTCCGGCACCGTTGACCTAGAGCACGGTGGGGGTGCGATTCGCAAACGTTTGACCCTTACCTTTCGAAACTTGAATGTCCGAGTCACGGCTCCCGATGCAGCCCTAGGCGATACACTACTGTCCTATGCCGACCCACGACAACTCCTAGATGTCTTTCGGAGTACTCGACAGAACAAAAGGGTAGGCACTGGATCGTTATGCTCTAATATTGAACCAGTAGCTGACAGAAAATTAGACTATTCTCAAGGACATTAATGGACAAGTGAAACCAGGCGAAATGGTAAGGCTATAGAGTTACTTGTACATACACAACAGGTAAGCTGATACAATAATAGCTGCTAGTATTGGGTCGACCTGGTGCTGGATGTACTTCTTTCCTTCGAGTCCTTTCAAATGACCGGGATTCGTTCGACGAAGTGACTGGCGAGACCCGTTACGGAAGTATGGACCACAAAGAGGCAAGGAAATTCCGACAGCAGATCATGTTCAACAATGAAGACGACATCCACTTTCCTACATTGACGGTGAACCGAACCATGAAGTTTGCTTTGAGAAACAAGGTCCCTCGAGAGCGTCCCGAACATCTCCAGGAGAAACAGGAATACATACAGGGCACAAGGGACGGCATTCTAGAATCCCTGGGAATCGCGCACACCAAGAAGACATTAGTGGGAAATGAGTTCATTCGCGGCGTGTCTGGCGGAGAAAGAAAGCGTGTATCTTTGGCTGAAGTAATGGCTGGCCAGGTGAGATGCAACTCGGTAAGATAAGCGGAGAACAAGCGAATCTGACATATTATCACAGAGTCCCGTCCAGTTTTGGGATAACCCCACTCGCGGTCTTGATTCGAAGACTGCGGTCGAATTTGCACGTCTCCTGCGCCGTGAAGCGGACCAGAACGACAAGACCATGGTGGCCACCATGTACCAGGCAGGAAATGGTATCTACGATGAATTTGACAAGATTCTGGTACTCGCAGAAGGGAGAGTCATTTACTATGGTCCTAGAACGATGGCACGAGCATACTTTGAAGATATGGGATTTGTTGTGCCAAAAGGTGCCAACATTGCCGATTTCTTAACTTCAGTCACGGTGATTACCGAACGTATTGTCCAACCAGGGTTGGAGGAGAAGGTTCCCAGTACTCCTGAGGAATTCGAATCTCGCTTTCTTGCAAGCGACATCAATGCGCAGATGCTGGATGCTATTGAGCCACCAGAGAAGCTTACACACGAGAAGGACGATCTGGTCATGGCAGTGGCTAACGAGAAGAAAAAGAAACATCTTCCCCGGCCTCAGAGTGTGTACACAACGAGCCTCTGGGATCAGATCCGTGCTTGCACAGTTCGGTAAGCAGTGTCCATGAGGTATTTTGGAAGCACATAGCTAACTTGGACAAGGCAATTCCAAATCATGGCAGGAGATAAACTTTCTCTTGCCATCAAGATCGTCTCAGCCATTCTGCAGGCGCTAGTCTGCGGCAGTATTTTCTATAACCTGAAACTGGATAGTTCCTCAATTTTCCTTCGCCCTGGTACACTCTTTTTTCCATGTCTCTACTTCCTCTTGGAGGGTTTGTCAGAGACAACGGGTGCATTCATGGGTCGCCCTATTCTCTCCCGCCAAAAACGCTTTGGCTTCTACCGTCCAACAGCATTCTGCATTGCCAATGCTATCACAGATATACCCGTCGTGATCGTACAAATTTCTTGCTTTTCATTAATCCTGTACTTCATGTCTGCGTTGCAAATGGATGCCGGCAGATTCTTTACCTACTGGATTATGCTTATCGCTCTTACTCTGTGTTTCATGCAGCTCTTCCGTGCTGTTGGTGCGTTATGCAGGAAGTTTGGAGTTGCATCGATGATATCGGGATTGCTGTCGACCATCTTCTTCGTTTACGGGGGTATGTGCCATCAGTTCACAAGCTGAGAACGCTACTGACTGCCACAGGTTATCTTATCCCATTCGAGAAAATGCACGTTTGGTTCCGCTGGATCTTCTACCTCAACCCTGGTGCATATGCATTCGAGGCACTCATGGTAAATGAGTTTTCTGGGTTGAAGCTTGACTGCGTCTCACCTGACTATATTCCTTATGGGGCGGGATACCCAGACTCGTCATCAGCTTACCGTGGCTGCTCTGTGTTGGGTAGTGATGAAAATGGACTCATTGATGGGGCCGCATATATTCGGGAACAGTACCACTACTCGGTTGGCCATATCTGGCGCAGCTTTGGTGTCATCATTGGCATGTGGGCGTTTTTCATTTTCCTTACCGCTGTGGGCTTCGAAAAGCTCAACAGTCAAGGGGGGTCATCCGTGCTCCTCTATAAACGCGGAAGTCAGAAGAAGCGCACTTCAGATATGGAAAAGGGTCAGCAGGCTAGGTCCCAGCCAACAGCAAATGCTGGTGCTCTTTCAAATACCGCCAAACAGTCAACCTTTACGTGGAACAATCTCGACTATCATGTCCCCTTCCATGGTCAGAAAAAGCAGCTTCTGGACCAGGTGTTTGGTTATGTAAAGCCTGGTAACCTTGTCGCACTCATGGGTTGCTCTGGTGCTGGTAAAACTACGTACGAGCTCTGATTCATAAACTCTCCTGGTCAAGACTAACTTATTTTTAAGGTTGCTGGATGTGTTGGCTCAACGGAAAGATAGCGGCGAGATTTATGGGTCCATCCTAATTGACGGCCGGCCTCAAGGGGTGAGTTTCCAGCGAACCACAGGTTATTGTGAACAGATGGATGTGCACGAAGCAAGTGCAACGGTCCGGGAAGCATTGGAATTTTCTGCTCTTCTCCGTCAGCCTGCATCAGTTCCTCGAGAAGAAAAGCTGGCATACGTGGATCACATTATTGAACTACTGGAACTGAGCGACATCAGTGACGCTCTGATAGGCAGTACGTTATCGTCCACAATGCTTGAATACTTTGCATTTTACTAACTCCTGTAAGTCCCCGGAGCTGGTCTCAGCATCGAGCAGCGGAAGAGAGTCACACTAGGCGTTGAACTGGTGGCAAAGCCGACTCTGCTATTCCTCGATGAGCCTACGTCGGGTCTAGATGGTCAATCAGCGTACAATATCATTCGATTCTTGAGAAAGCTAGTGGATGGTGGTCAAGCAGTCTTGGTAGGTCTTCCCACAACTGCTAGATAATCATAGCAGCTAACAAGCCACAGTGCACCATTCACCAACCCTCTGCTGTATTGTTTGATGCATTTGATTCGCTGCTCCTCCTGGCTAAGGGTGGTAAAATGACATACTTTGGCGAGAGTAAGTCCTCCCACTGCCTTGTGGTACGATATAATGGGTCTAATAGAGTATAGCTGGCCAGGATTCCGCCAAGGTACTGGACTATTTTGCAAGAAACGGCGCTCCCTGCGAACCCGATGTCAACCCAGCCGAACATATCGTGGAGGTTATTCAGGGGAACACTGAGAAGAAGGTTGACTGGGTTGAAGTCTGGAACCAATCTGAGGAGCGTCAGCGAGCCATGGCCGAATTGGAGGCTTTGAACAATGAGCGGAAGCAGAACACACAGGAGGAGGAAGATCAATCTGACTTTGCAACCTCTCACTGGTTCCAATTCAAGATGGTCTTGCGCCGTCTCATGATCCAATTATGGCGGTCACCGGTGAGTTATTGCTCTTTGATCATTGTCATACAATGAATACTGAACATTATCAAGGACTATATCTGGAGCAAGATCATTCTCCATGTCTTCGCAGCTCTGTTCAGCGGTTTTACCTTTTGGAAAATGGGTAACGGCACGTTTGACCTCCAACTTCGTCTCTTCGCTATCTTCAACTTCGTGTTCGTCGCTCCGGGATGCATCAACCAAATGCAACCATTCTTCTTGCACAATCGCGATATTTTCGAGACCCGCGAAAAGAAGGTTAGTCACTTCGCATCAGCGATATTAATTCTGTAGGCAACGTGTACTAACAAAGGCTAGTCCAAAACATACCATTGGCTCGCCTTTATCGGCGCCCAAGCCGTCTCCGAAATCCCGTATCTCATTATCTGCGCAACTCTCTACTTCGCATGCTGGTACTTCACTGCAGGCTTCCCTGTCGAGGCTAGCATCTCCGGCCACGTCTATTTACAGATGATCTGTTAGTACTACACCTACAATTCATGAGGCATTTGAACTAACCCAATACAGTTTACGAATTCCTCTACACATCGATCGGCCAAGCCATTGCCGCATATGCACCAAACGAATACTTTGCCGCCATCATGAACCCGATTCTCATCGGTGCTGGCCTGGTCTCTTTCTGCGGTGTTGTCGTTCCCTACTCAGCCCTGCAGCCCTTCTGGCGCTACTGGATGTACTACCTGGATCCATTCACGTACCTAGTTGGAGGGCTTCTGGGTGAGGTCCTCTGGGACGTGAAGGTGGAGTGCAAAGCATCCGAACTTGTGCAGTTCAGCGCGCCATCCGGTCAGACGTGCGGCCAGTACATGGCCGACTTCCTGAGTGAGCAAGCGGGCTATCTTCTTGACCCGAACTCGACTTCTAGCTGCTCGTTCTGTCAATACTCCACTGGAGCGGACTATGCCAAGACGTTCAACCTGAAGGAGAAGTACTATTCTTGGAGAGACGTAAGTCGACCCCTCATTGGATAAACATGAGATTATACTGACTCTGGATCCAGACTGGTATCACTGCACTTTTCTGCATCAGTTCTTACGGACTGGTGTTCTTAATGATGAAGTTGAGGAGTAAGAAGACTAAGAGTGCGAGGTCGGAGTAATCTGTTTCACCTTGCATGGAAAGTATTAGACGTGGACTTGCACATATTGCATTGAATTATGGTTATAGATATAGATTTAGCGGTATATACAGATAGATATAGATCTCACTAGAACTAATACGGATTGAGGTTTGAGAAGACGCCTCCAGAAACATTTGGAATTTTACTGGATAGCACGACGAATAAAGTAATCATTATCTAGAAATTGAAGAATTCTAAGTTGAAAAATTATGCCAAAGATTAAAACGTTGAAGAAAAGCATACCAGACAGCAAGCCGCATACAAAAAAGTGTAGTGAGGGCTCAATTGATCACATCCTTAGACGATAGATGCAGGCTTACCTCTAATAAATGTAAGAAGTTACCCGTATTGATCTATCCAGCCCAAACCTTCAGTCAGGCCCGGTGTTGACTTTTCGTTTTCTGACTTACGTGTTTATTTTGCATGGATAGCCATGGGAAGACACCAAGTCATATGGAAGCGTCTAAAGCAAACGCAATGCCGACTAGACCATAGGAGATAGATAGAGGACATGGAGCACGGCCTATAGTTGCTACACGAAACGATATTGGAAAAGGGGGATTTTGGTCAAGGATAGCTGGGGCCTTTGCTGAAGGTGCCTTTTTAGTCGGACCTAAGTGGCTGCTTGCTCTAAAGAAAGAGCTTTACCTTCAATTGGGGATAACGACAGATTGTGTATCGGCTTTTGGTTTCTTGTGGCATGGTACCTTTGTCGCCTGGAAGCTGTATTCACGGCATCTCTGTTCTAATGGCGGGTGTTAGTTCAATCGTTTCAATGCATCTGATAGGCTGACCGTTGGGAATGATCGAGCAAATGGTGATTATGTGCAATCTTCTTGTCCTTTCGCCCGAGTTAGACATAGTTATTGCTTGCCACCTCACTGACCGTGATAAGTACCAAGCTACGCCACGTTAATGAGGTGCCCAGGTCTGATCAGGTGATTAGCCTACCCTACTCTGCAAGGGGCATGCCAAAGAAAGAAATGCATATGGCCAATCCAATCGTCATACTTTCACACTCATAAAGTAAGGAAGATGTATTTACCGCGCCGGGCATGTCTATATGCCGAAAAGTATTGAGTGTACCAAGACTCTCGCTTATAATAGTACGAAAATTGGTTGGGTGCTGATCGGTCAGAATGCGGGGAAGTTTCTGGGATCCGGGGGAAAACCTCGCCAAGACTTTTTCTCACCATCAGCATTTTAATTTTTGTCTATCAACACCTACTCACCACGATAACTACAAGCTGCATTCACCAAAGACATGCCTATAGCTGATACCGTTGCTATGTAATACCCCCGTCTCTTTCTTGTCTATCTTTATTTACTCAACTCCTATCCCAGTTACGTCTTTCTTTCCCCTTGATTCATCGCACCCAGGTGACTGGATATAGACGAGGTCTAATATGTTCCCCGCATAAGTTCATTGGTTTGGACACATGGCATACTTCGACTAACCACGGTTGGCAACGCTCATGATCTTTATGTTGACGAATCTCGTGTCTCGCAGCATCTTCCCCTTCAGCGGAGCGCTTCTTGGCGACTTGGCTCACGAAGAGCTTTGACGTTAGCCACCCTGCGATAGGCCAAATCTTCCGCAGTCAGCATCAAACATGAATATCCCGCCAACGGCCAAGAGCGCCACGAAACTCTGGAAGCTCCGACAAAAGGGATTGTTAACCTAACTTGGGTCTCTTCCCAACCAATGCCCAGGTGCCGCGGCTCGCCTATCAACCCCGGCTTAACGAATGAATGCAATTACCATGCAGCTCGGCAATTCCATGAATGTCATGGTCCTGCTTCTGCTTATGGAGAACTACTGAGCTCCCCGGTTTAACTACCGTGATTTTGAGCCAACTCTTTGAAGGGGACCAGTGAACGTGCCGCATTTCTGGGCCATGTGGTTGACGGCCTGAAATTCGAGGCTCCCAGGTGTCCAATGCCCAGACCCTGACAGCGAAAATCTGCTCAACCCCAGAATCCTGCACTTTTGCAGCCATCCGAACCTCATTCCCGCACTGACTTTCGGCAAATCCGATCTGTCTCTTGCATCCGACAGTCATCGGGGGATTTATTTTTCACATTGTGTATAAATTCACCCCACATCCCCCCTTGCATGCCTACCGAGGATGCAAAGGTAGCAAGATCGGCAACTGTCCACCTGGCTACTGGTTCTTGAGCTCACTGCGATAAAGTTAAACTAGCATGGCGACTGAAAAGGGTGCCTTGGATGGTGTCGCGGATGAGAAGGCCGGCGATACTGAGGCTAACAAGGTCATCGATGCGGCCGAGCACGGCCATGCTGCGACTGATCAGTATGGTCGCGTACTGATTGAGTTCGATCGTGCTGCAGAACGTCGCCTACGACTGAAGATCGATCTGTGCATCGTCCCAACCGTGGCGTTGCTCTACCTCTTTTGTTTCATTGATCGCGCGAATATCGGTAGGTCACCTACATTGCGGACTGATATGCGACGCAAAGCTGTTCCATAATACAAGTAGTGTAGCCGGGCACTAACCAAGACTACATTGCAGGGAACGCCAAACTCGCTGGGCTGGAGAAAGATTTGGGCCTGACGGGGAACGATTACAATACCATCTTGTCTATATTCTACATATCATACATCATCTTCGAGATTCCATGCAATATCGCTTGCAAATGGATGGGGCCAGGTTGGTTTCTTCCTACGACCACTGTGTTATTCGGGGTTTGTTCCCTTGGAACGGCTTTCGTGCAGGATATCCATGCGGCATCAGGAGTCCGATTCCTCCTTGGGATATTCGAAGCAGGCATGTTACCTGGAATTGCCTACTACCTTTCGCGCTGGTATCGGCGCAGTGAGCTTGCATTCCGCCTAGCGCTCTACATCGTCATGGCACCACTTGCCGGTGCTTTTGGTGGCCTCCTAGCGTCGGCAATCTTAACGCTCGACCATTTCGGCAGCCTGCGCACCTGGCGCATGATCTTCGCAATTGAGGGCATCATCACAATTGGCCTCGGCCTCATAGCCTTTGTCACTCTAACTGACCGACCGGAGACCGCGCGCTGGCTGACACAAGAGGAGAAAGACCTTGCCATTACCCGACTGAAGGCGGAGCGTGTCTCGACCACAGAAGTCCTAGACAAGATGGATCGCACCAAGATGATGCTCGGCATCTTTAATCCGGTCACATTGTCAACTTCGTTTATCTTTTTGCTCAATAACATCACTGTCCAGGGATTGGCATTCTTTGCCCCGACTATTGTCCGAACAATCTATCCGAACGCCAGCGTTGTTTCACAACAGTTGCACACTGTGCCTCCCTACGTGGTCGGCGCGTTCTTCACCGTTCTGTTCCCCTTCCTCAGCTGGCGCTGGGACAACCGCATGGTGTATTTTGTTGTCGCACCGCCCCTCATGATCATCGGTTATATCATGTTTTTGGCCAGCACCGAGCCCATGGTGCGCTATGGTGCGACCTTCCTGATTGCGAGCGGCGCGTTCGCATTTGGCGCCCTTTGCAATGCTCATGTTTCGAACAACGTAGTATCGGATACGGCGCGGTCGTCGGCAATCGGAACAACAGTAATGTTCGGCAACTTGGGCGGACTGGTTTCCACCTGGTCATTCTTACCATTTGATGCGCCAAACTATCATATTGGGAACGGCCTCAACCTGGCCACGTCGTCATTAACTATGATCCTCGGGGCCTGCCTTTGGATGTGGATGAAATGGGATAACAAAAAGCGGGAGAGGGTGGACATTGACCAGGCTCTGCGGGGCATGTCCCAGAAACAGATCCAGGATCTAGACTGGCGCAACCCGGCCTTCCGATGGCGGACATAGAGCCGCGGACAGGGGAGGTTTTGTTTGGGCTATTTCGCTTGTGTCTAATATGGGAGCCGGGTTGCATTTATGTATCGGAGCATGCATAGACCGGTCATAGCCTGCATGATGACAGGAGAGGGACGCATTGCATGTGTTTATTCATTAGTATGTAAATTTAAATCAAAAATATTGGCCATTTTTAACTTGTTGCCGTCGATCGCAGCTTTATCTGAAGCACACACGGGAAACGTTCACGCAGGAACTTGCCGAATAGATGTAACATACACCAATGAAAACGCCGACAGCCGAGCGGACAGACAGTAAGGATGATCCTTGTGGGTGGGTGAGAATAGCCATGGGTGCTAATGTGTGTTTACTACTCCTGGTAGTTGCGCATCGTGACACCACAGGTCACGGTCTCGCCGAAACCCTACTCTGAGGTCAATCCATCCAGCGCCTCCCCCAACCGATGACAAATTTTTTACACTCTTTGACCTCCTGTCAATTGCCTATCAGTGCCACGGCTTCCCCATCACGTCTTCGGATCTCACCGATCCGCCGGGGTTTTGGTTCCAGTGGGTTCGCCAGTGTCTTCTTGGGCGAATTACCCGTGGGCTATTATGCCGTATTCGGCCGCGTCGGTGTGAGTCCGGTCCAGATGACTAGCGCTGAGGCGATTGGAAAACGACTGGATGGACCGAGGAAGGCTAGCAAGGGCCATGAATCCTTCGCGGGGATGGACCTGGGGGCGAACATCCATTTCTTATGAGTATGGACTGGACTAGTCCACACAGTCGTGAGACCTTTAATTCCTTTTTTAAAATAAGGGTGGGGAAGAGTTACTAATTTTTTCCCATTTATTTGCCAGATACGTTACATTTCTCATCATTAGCTTCTAAGTTAGGGTTTTCGAGGTCCACTTTCCCCAGAAAGAGCCAAAGAAATCTTGGCCACCACATGTGGATCGGCAGAGACCGTCCGTGCTGGAGAGCCACTCAATCCGTTTGCTTTAATGCCCCCGGTCACCAGTCAAGAAGGTCGAACATTGCTCCTCAAGATCCCCACCTGCTACGCTATATCCCGCATTCCTCGTGACAGTCCAGTAAACTCGTGATGCCCTCCATTTCCCCAGGTCTGCCAAGCGGTCCGGCCGGAGAATTTTCTCGCGTTTTGGCCTCGGTGACGCCAGATGCCTTTCGGACGTTGACCGAAATCGTCCCATACCCTAAGTATTACCGACATTGCTCCTGCTCGATTAGACTAGATGTGATCCAGATCCGATGCCGGGGAAAGATCCAATTTTTTTTTCGGCCGTAAAACAACTGGGTCCATGTGATTAGTTGTGCATGGCAGGGATATGTAGGAAAATGCAGCGACTCGTATGAGGATGATGCATCAGACAGGTGGCCCCTTGTTCAGAATTTTTTCTACGTTTTCTTTGTTTCAATCTTACTTCCTTTCGTGTGTATTTCGGCTGGAAAAGTAGGACTGCTACACAATGAGAACAACGCCGAGCATGAGTTTAGAGCTAATAAGCTCTTCGCGAGGCTTCGGAACCTGGCCGACGGGAGGCACACACCCAAGGCTCGCGCCCTACATGTACCACCGTCTTTAAGCACCCTTGGCGACATCCAGCTCTTGGCCAACGCAGGCCCACCGGGCAGAGTTTCCTATTGGGGTGAAAACATCGACATTCGTTGTTCTAGCTCTAGGGTTGGGAGTGTATGTTGAATTTTACTTTTGAGTAATGGTCGGTTATTCCGATGTGTCTCCCCACGCTTTGTATCATCCCCCGCATTGTTATATGTCACCACCATGTGCGAAAGAATCTCCAGTGGGTGGGATCGCCTGGGGTATATAATATCCTCGTTATCCGGCCTCTCTGTCCGTGTCACCATTGCGTTGTGACCCCTCTTCCCTTTACCACTTGCGTCCTCTCCTTACTTGACTCTTACGCCAGAGCGGCACCAAAGTCAGCGCAAGTCTTTCCCCTCTACCACAATGGCGGGCGCAAAGAAACCCGTCAATATTTTTCAGCTCAAAAACCTGGGCGATCCCAAACAGGTTTACAACTGGAGACTATGGCTCGCTGTCGTTTCTTTCGGGCTCATGGGCGCTGCTCGTGGTGTCGATGAGGGCTTGATCTCCGGCGCCTTCAACTCCAAGGATTTCCAAAGGACCATCCACTACGATTCATACAGTAAGGTCGAGCAGACCAACAT